GAAAAAAAAAAATTGAATACACATTGCTTGTGTACTCTAGTCGCATTATTTTTTTAAGGCACTAACATTTTTCTTCCCCCTTCCTTCCCCACGACTAATACGTATGCATGTGTGTATACAGATGCATGTATGTGTATATAATACATAATAGTTTGTTTAAAAGGGTAAATTGATTACCATCAGCTATACCACTTTGAATTTTTAAAGGGTTAATTAAGATTTGGCTACCTCCACCACTGAATTAAAGACACACATTTTTGGAGTGTTGGGTGATCTTGACGGGCGCAAATTTTCTTTTGAAAGTATGACATTGTAGCAATTTTGTCCCTCGGTGTTAAAAATATTAATAGTCAATATTAGTTTTTTAATATTAAAAAGTAAAATTGCTATGATTTCAAACTTTTACAATAATTTTGCACTAAAAAAGATTTTAGAGTACCGAACACTTGAGAGAAAACTTTTGGAATAAAGTTGCATATTAAGCCATTAAACTTTTTTTTGAATGTCACCTTAACCCATTAATTAATTATAATGAAAGCATAATAGACCTCACTTCAAGATGCATGATTATACAAAGTCTATTTAGATTCGTGATTGGAAAAGTAGCTTTATTATCAATTTGACTTTTAAAAAAGTTAGATTAGGTAAAAGTTAAATTGGATGATGTGAATTGTATTTAGATTGGATTTTATAAAAAGTAGTTTAGGTAAAAAGTTATTTGGATTATGATTGAATAGAAGGAAGTTTAGTTTGTATAATTACCAAAATAGGTATGAGTTTTATTAGATAAAATGAAAAATAATTAAAAAAATGAATTTACATAATACAATGAATTTAAATTAGTAAATTTAGTTTGTAAAATGACTCAAATGAGTATGAGCTTTATCAAATCATAATGAGAGAATAATGAGCGAGGAGTGAAAGAAAAATAAATAATCTAACAATTCCAATGATCCGCCAACATAAGCCCGATTTCACTTGAAAAAGCTACCTCAGATCAGTTTACTGTTAAGTGTGTTTTAATCCAACTTTTAGGGGGTGTTTGGGTTCCAACCCAAACCATGGTTTGGGAAAAAATCACCCAAACACCTTTAAAAAACCAAAACCATGGTTTTGAGTCAAAACCATGGTTTTGGAAAAAGCAAATTTTTTTGCTTTTAGAAAAAAAAAAGGGAGAATCTGAGAGCCTATAAGATATGTATCTTGTTGTTTTTTTATAAACATATTTTTTTATAAATATATTTAATCTTATATCTTATAAATATATATACATATTAATTATTTATTAATTATATTATCTTATGTATTATTAATTATGTTGATAAAAAATATATTATTAACAATTTTATTCTTTCAAATTAAAATATATCATAAAATATATTTTTTCTGTAATTATCATATTAACTTGTGCCTTTTTTAGTAATTTGTACATGTAAAAAGTGCTTCTGGTAACAACTATCCAAACATTCTCACTTCTCAGAATCACATTTTTACAAAATCTATTCTTCAAAAAATCTATTCTCTCCAGAATCTATTCTCCAGAAGCTATTCTTCAAACCATGGTTTGGTTATATCCAAACACCCCCTTAGTCCCCAAGCACGATGGCTTATAAGCTCTCCCAAAAAGGCTTCCATTTTCCAAACGAGCTTATGATGAAATCCTATAATATTTTTTCACTAAATTGAATAAACATACATAAAAACAACATAGTAAGTGTTATAATAATTGTGAGCTTGCAACAAAATATAGTATCTGTACAAGTAGTTTTTTTTAACAAAATGCTACAGTGTAGGATAACAAAAGAAATAAAAAAGACATGAACGATCAGGAGAAAAGACGATTTCAATCTAAAGGATATTTGTGTCCAAATACGGTTAGCTAACTTTTGACACCCTTATAATTACTCCAATGACCATTTTCTAGGCCTCAAAAGCAAAAAAATTTTCCTTTGAGCAAAACCTTGGTTTTGGAGGCTAAAACCATGATTTTTAAAAAATTTGAGGTGTTTGGATAGTTTTGAACTCAAACCATGGTTTGGAGTCCAAAAGTCCTTTTTGACAATTTGCCAAACACCCTCTAAGCTACTTTTGGGTTGACAATTGCTGACCCAAACAGGCTAATAATTCGTCAATCACTTTTATGCAGACAAGATAACTGAAAAATATGAACCAATACGGGTTGGTACAAGTGGTAAGGGGCTTGTGTTCCCTTAAGTGTCTTTAGTTTCGGATTCGATCTTTAGGGCGATGTGTATGAAAAGAATTCACTTGGGAGGAGTGACGGGTCATTAGACAGCTTGACAGACCCCCATGAGATTAGTCCCTCACCCATCAGGCGGAGAATACCCTGGTGCTCCCAAAAAAAAAAATGCATTAAAAAGGGATGCAAGTTCAATGAAGTATACAGACATAGGCAGTACAATGAACCTAATTGCTATTTGAAACCATATGCAATGTAGTGTGATACAGCATATGTACTACTGTTTTCATCAGTTTGGACCCTTTGAGGTCTTCATGAGAGTTAAACATCAAAAAACTAGCATAATATAATGCAGTGTAGAGCAATTATTATTCTAAACCTCTCTGAAGCTTGAGTTGTCCGGAGCTCTTATTAAAATAATAATACTCATACTATGTTGAGTATGATCAAGATTCAAGAATAGTAACTAAATTTACATTGTACGACCTATTTTTGTGTACGGTAATGTACTTAGTGTGTTACATTGTGCTACCTATGTTTGTGTACGACAATGTACTTAGTGTGCCTCTTCCTCCCACTTCCTATGTATATGGAAATGCAAGTGGGGATTAAAAAACATAGACCACACATGCTCTCCCACTGGTCTCACTACTACTTTCGCAAACTTACAACCATATGCAATTAGTATAATGTAGTACAGCTATTATTCTAATATATTTGGAGCCTTTGAAGTCTTGAACTTGAGACTTGAACATTAAAATAAAAGTGCAACGTAGTACAAGTACTGCTATTCTAAACTCTCTCAAGCTTTATTTGTCCAAGCTTTAAGCTTAAGCTTAATACCTGTACTATATTGCATATGATTTAGAATAGTGACTGTGTTTATATTGTCCTACTTATGTTTGTGTACTCCAGGGCACTCGTTTGCCTTTTCTTCCCACTCCCTATGAGACATTTGGTTAGGGGTGAAAAAAATTTATAGAATACACATGCTTTTCCCTTCTAATCTCATTAAATTTGTTCTATCAAACTTGCAAGTACCATTTAACTAATCAAGGTTTTAACATTTCCCCCCTCACTTCCTTCCTCAGCTAGTACCTAGTAATGTAATGTCATATAATAAAATATAGGAAAAATTAATCTTTTAGTTCCTGAGGCTTTGATTCACTTAAAACTTAATTCCTTAACTATGACTTGTTATGACTCAATCTCTAAAAACTTAACTTGTATAAAACTTAGTTCCTTTTCCTTTTAATCTTTAATAATTTTGTCCTTATCATTTATAACCCATGCCAAGTTATCGCTGAGCCATCCTACATGGAAAAAAATACAGTTATAAATTTTGTTTTGGCTTTCCAACTCAGCTCTCCACGTGGGTTTGACAAAAAAATTGGAAAAAAAAATAAAACTTCAGATTTGCCATGAACTTAAACAGGAGATGAGCTCGCTTTCCCTCACTCTCCTCCTCTCCTCTTCTTCTATTTGAGACAAGGAATTATTGAATGGGCTGAAAACTTTTAGACAAAATAAAAGGGGAAAAGAAAAAAGAAACAAGGCATAAACTCTCAAAAACAACGGTGCCTCATCATTGACAATTCTAATTATTCCAATTGAGATGGCAGGAAAGATCCATCCCGATCCTATATCGTTTACTACAAGCTCACAAACTAATCATCTTGAAAGCAACAAAAACAAGAGAGTTTCACAAGACAACTACAAGTCCAACACATTCACATTCACAACATATTCACAAACTAATTGTCTTGAGGATAATTGCCGAGAAGAGGAGAGAAGGCGAGTGAGGGAGAGCAGTGTCACCGTTCATACTTCATCTCTGATCCAAGTTCATGGTAAATCTGAAGCTTTTTTTTTTTCAATTTTTTTTTGTCAAATCCCTGTGGGGAGGTAAGCTGGAAAGCTACAAAAGAATTTATAACTGTAATTTCTTTCATGTAGGATGGCTCACTGATGACTTGGCATGAGTTATAGATGATAAAGACAATTATTAAAAATAAAAAAGATGAGAGACTGAGTTTTATACGAGTTAAACTTTCAAGGACTGAGTCATAATGAGTTATAGTTGAGGAACAGAGTTTTAAAGGAGTCAAAACTTCAAGACCTAAAAGATTAATTTTCTCTAAAATATAATAAATTAACACCGTTTAAAGGGTAAATAGATCAGACCGACGTAGCTAGCTGGGCCACTCGGGCGATTCCATGATTGTTATGAAAGCATACCAGACGTCTCTTTAAGATACATGATTTTACAATCACTTCAGGTAGTAAAAGATTGCGTGGACTTGATAATTGAAAAATATGCATTATTTGACTACAACAGATAATTGATCAAATAATTACTTTGTCCTGAACATGAGCTGCTCCCTGTTCCCTTGCATAGATCTTTCAGTGGAATCTCATAATCACAAGAGGCTAGCGACCATCAGTTCTGGAGATAGCATCTAGGAAAAAGCTCGTTTCAGACACGTCCTTGTAATAGGCTCGTTCCCCCTCCTTGATTTTCACAAGCTTATTCTGCAACATTCATGTACTCATAAAGTGTGGTTCAATCCACAGAACAGAACGCTGAATTATAGGCAAAAATAGAGGTTCACTAGAGGGGAACGATCTCAACGTGTAAAAATGTAAATAATGCACCTTCACTTTTGAGAATTATCCCCTTAAACTTCCCCCTTAAGCATTTAAAACCTTTTGTTCATTTTCTGTCAATGGGTATACCGCTTCACCCCTTGTCTCTTGCCACATGGCATGTTTTTTTCATTAGTTCAATAAATAAATTAAGGTGGTTAATTTTTTTCTTTTTTGGGGAAAAAAAAACCTCGCATAGGAGTGAGATTTGCCTAACCTAAACTGTGAAATTCTCAAATGCTGACGGCAAAAAAAAAAAAAAAAACAGAAGAAGAATAAATTCTCCAATGCTAAATAATGAAACAACAGGGATATAATTGTTTTTAATTTTATTGCTGATTAAAAGGTTGTTCAGAGATGATCTGAAGTTGAACGGTGGTGTTTGTATTTTCTGTTTCCTCAGTTTCGATTAAAAGAAAGTAAGAAGTAATAAATGGAAAATACATAGCGTGCATGCACATGCAGTGTACTTGCACGGCACAAAAGGACCGCAATAAGTTTGATCTCTTGACATGCTTCAACTCGAGATTTTACTTGCTTCCACCAGAAAAAATAAGGCAACAGTTTGACTGAATCATTTGGCACAGGAAAACAATCCAGGAAACCCTAAAGATATGAACCATGCACATTCTTAAGATAAAGTTTACTTTGGACAAGTAGACTAAACCAATAAGTAGTAGCTACGCGGACATGCCAAGTAAATTTTTCATTTCCAGTGAACCCACCACTAACATGTTTACATGGCTGCTCATTGGTTTAGTCTAGACATCTTAAGAGGCATACTCTAATAAAGAATTTTTCATTAGTGATTTCCGGAGTGCACATCGCTGTCACTAATTTGCAATCAGTACATTGAAGGAGCTTAGTCCAGAGAACAATTAAAAACTAACGGCAGTAAATTCATACCTGTGAGACTCACTACATGATTTATGTTGCAGCTACTTGTGGACCTTTCTCATGTGACACTGATGAAATGCCTTGCTCAATACACTGAAAGAAATCAAATTTAAGTAACAGCTTCCAGTCACTACCAACTTGTAATAATTCTAATAGAAACCCAACTTGAACAAAAAATGCATGATTTGCCACTAAAATACATATCCTTTTGATCTATTCCAACTTTAAAGCACTTTGAAAATTAACACAACACCCACACGTAATAGATGATAATGCTACAATTACTTTGTTTTTAGGCACTGCTCTTAGATCAACCATAACTTACACATCTTGCAATGTCTCATGAAAAAAGACCTGCTGCAGAGCTGCTGAAAAGGATATAATCGATTAGTTATCAATATCAACTAAACTTTTTTGAAGGTGATAGACATAGCAGGCCAACTGCTGAAGTGTTGAATATAGTCGATCATACTACAACAGAAATCAACCGGTGCCATTTTAGGCTGAGATTCCCAATGTCTGACAGTTTTGAAGACCTCAGAGTTAATATCGGAGATGCAATGAAGTGTGTTTTTAGCATTATTTAAAAGTGAATATACCCTTTCCGGGAAGGGTTGAGACTACACATGTGGGACTTTAAAGCCCCTGAGCAGGCGACCCATCCCTAGGATTGAATTTCAGAATGGAGTCTTTCAAGAACCAGTATCGATACTGGATCAAAGCCACTGAACTTAAGTAACTAAATAAGAAAAATAAACTAATGCTATGTTAAAATGTTTCAAAAATTCAGCTCTTGATGAGGACGAAACTATGGTTATACCATACTGTTAAGATTAATAAAATGTCATTGCCTGCAGGTATGGACAAAAGTTTACTTTAAAAGAGTACTTCACTGCTGTGTTCTGTTGATATTTTACTCAGTTAAATTTTATCCCGGATACTAGCAAAGAGAGGATCAAGTCGTCAGCAAGCTAAAGCTCAGTGGTGGAGGAGCTCTACAATGTCATGGGTTTGAGCCTGCGGGGAAACACTTGTGGTGGAGGCAGCTTTGATTATTCTGAGTAAAACTGGTTCCGCATCCCCAGCGTGAGATGCTCGTTTGGAACCAACACTGTTGACCGAAAACAGTGATTTTGGAGCTAGCATCATTATTCTTAGATCCTAAGAAGGTCACTAGTAATCCTCCCTCTCCCACTAAATCCTTTATGTTGGTGTGCTATACGGTAGAAATTTAGAAGCAACAAATTGAGGAAGCCATTTAGCCACCAAAAACCATATTCTTTGAGACCAATTTACTAAAGATCCTACATCAGCCTACCCAACTGATTTGACGATAGATATTTTTTCCCCAGTCTAGTGAGGAACAGAGTTCCTTAATTTTCTCGATCATCTATTACACACCAACCATAACCCAAAAAAGATCAGGCAGAAGACCCTTGCTGAGGAAATTCCAACTCACGCAATCACAAGCTTTCATCAAATCCAACTCAAAAAATATACACTGGTTTCCCCATCTTCATAAACTCCTTTGCAAAACGGACAAAACCTAAGATCCTGGTGAAATGGCACTTTGATTCTGTGAAATGGTTCCTTGTGGCATGGTGACGTTTCATTCAATCGGATACAAAGAAACTTGTCGATAAAGCTAGAACAAATTGTCACCAATATAAACTAATTGGCTTATAATATTTTATACCAACTATTAGGGAACACATCTGATTTAAGATGCAAGAGTAATTTGATGGAGCCTTATTCACTGCATTTCTTTTCTTTTTCCTCAGCATTCTCAAGGAGGACTTTTTATCGTTCTTTAACTCTTGTCTTTAATCTGCCTAACTCTGGTAATATTCTTTTTTTTTTCCTAAAAAATATTTTTTTATCTCCTAGTAAACTGCACGAGGAAAAAGGGAGTCTGAATTTTTGTTGAAATTTGATACGGTCCCTTTTTTATCCCTCCCAACTAGAACAAAACGGACAAGAAAAAGCCCCCCCGGGGGGGTCATTGAAATGAAGTACAAAAGAGATATGGGTTACATTTATATTAAACCAGGAACAAAGAAAACAAGAGCAGATAACATAAATGATAAATCAATACACAATAAAGCTGACCATTCCGTTTTAAGATTGCCCACCAATACAGAATTCTATTAAATCTTATTGAATGACCTTCTGCTTATACCGTCTCCATTTCATTACAACTAAATACAGTAAGCCACACTAGACAAAACATTTCAATTCCACTTTGCTTCCTCCACCCCCTCCCCCCAACGTATGAAAAACTCCCTTTTCTGTCTTATTCTCCAAAAGAATTAAAAAAAAAAAAAAAAGACAAAGGAAAAAGGAAAACTGCACTTATAAAAAAAAAAAAAGAAAGAGGAAAACTGCACAAATCAATACAAACTCGGATAAACATACCTGAAGAAGATAGCTGTGCAACCAGTCCAGTGTTTGAGGGAATGTTGTTGCTGATACATTGACCACAGTCAAGCCCTACAACATGAGACGATAGAGATGTATAATTTCCACATTACTACAAGAAGCAGGAACTTTGGTTGCTAAATCTATTAGGAGATGAAATTTCATATCAATTTATTACTCCCTCTAGTTCAAAAGATAAGCATCAAATAACTAACTTACGCACTTCAAGAAGATAGATGAAATTGGTTAAAGATAATAAATATGTAAAAAAATACAACTTATTTTCCTAAAACGCCTTTATTTATGGAGAGGGCAGGTGGGAGAGAGAATAAGTGGAAACAAAATATATGAGAGACATATAATTGATTAAGGGTAAAAATGGAAAAAATTCATTAAATGATAACACAAATTCAAATAGTAGCTTATAACCAAAAAAAAAAAAAAAACAAAGGCCCTCTAAAGTTTGATGTTTATATTTTTGAACCAGAAGGAGTATTTAGTTAACGCTAGAGAATTTCTCGTGTAAATTCTGCACAAGGAAAAACTCAGTTGTCTTGTGAGACTATTTAAAAAAGTATTCAACTTACACATCTACAGTTGTCATATAATAAGCTTCTTCTTTTACTTCAATTATCAAATGACAGAACTGCTATCTCCGTACAAACTGTTTTGTCCGCTCCCACGCCCCCATAATTTAGTGGTGTTGTAGTAATAGGCTATGCTACCATCAGTAAAGTAACTAATCACTTCATTAGATAAAAGATGCACTCAGGGGCTCTTACTAGTAGCTATGTTAATTGCAACGATCAATTAGCAAATATTTTCATTATGCCCTTAAGTAGATTGTGTATTACATATGTAACAAATGTGGCCATAATCTATAAGATCAACTTATGGTGAGTGTTGGAATCAATGTGTAGTGAGCTGGATATGACTATAATGGCTGTATTTAGGAACTCCAATTACGATAATCAAATACTGTGTCATGTATTCATTGACTATGAATACAATGTTCCAAGTTGATCAGAATTCACTGACTACAATTCCCACAAAGGGTTTTCTTTTCATCCCTCTCTCATTTCTTTCCACTAAAGAAATAGAAATAAATCATACAGAACATGTATCACCATCCAAAAAAAATGCAAGCTAATTGGAAGGCAAATTGTCGGACATACCTGTGATGTGAATGAGCAGAGATAATCTTGTATGGTTTTCAAGTTCTGTATAAGTTTATTTTTATCCTGTAAATTGTAAAATTGATTTCAAAAGATAGCTAACAAGAATATACAAAACCAATTTTCTATTTGAATCTAATTTATCATATGAGAAATTCATAATATTTGATATCTAATAAAACAATTAATTTAAAACATAAATATGCATGTACTGCACATAGAGAAACACAACCAAAACCACTTCGCCAATAATATCTCTCAACTCTGATCTAATTATTGTCAGAACCAATATTATGGAGCAAAAGAACTCGATAAAAGGAACCAAATGGGCCACACATAAGTCTTCTAACCACTCTCTAACTGTAATAAAATAAAATCCCATAGAAAATCAAACGTAAGGAACCATAAACGAACTAAAACATTTCATGTCAGGCAGCAAGTCAGGTAGTCCCTAATAGTCCTGGCCCTTCTCTCAGCTTGGACACACCCTAATGCCACTGAATTCATGTTCTTCTGAACCAATATTCCTAGTTTTCTCCAGTATCCTAAAAGATGTCAGCAAAGCCTCAAAGTTTGGAAAGTTCGTTCTCCATAATCTATATATTTTTAATTTTTTTGGAATAGAAATCATAAAATGTGCGCCATACAAGAGGGTTATCTAACCTGGCCTGGGCATTTATCATTAAATGAGCGGCTGGAGATCCACTCCTCCAGTAATGCCTGCAATTTGAAAGTTTCATTAAATTACGGAATACTTTGGCAAACTATACTCTGATTTCTTATTGATAGGGTCAAATACATATATAGAAACGGAGAAGAATAATAATCTAATCAGATAATCTAAAGACCTCCTAAAATCAAGGAAAAGTAAAATCTGACGGTAAATAACATATTAGAATAAGATAACGGAATTATAACCCAATGACTTATTTGAGGAATTAAGGAAGTTAAATTATATAAATAAGACGCTAAGTATATTGGCTAAACTATCATTATTAGAAGGATAAAAAAAATGCATAAAATAAGAGAAAATGGAATACCAAATAAAAAGTCAAATAATAAACTAGTAACAGAAGATAACTAAGTTAAAAACCCTAGTGGGTCTAACAGTGGTGCCATGCCCATTTCCAACAATAACATTTAGAAGTTGGCTAGAAATGATGGAACCCAACACCAAGACCTATGTACTTGAGTTCGGTTAAATTATTTTTTTCTTTTTCAAAAAAAAAAAACCCACTAATAAAAGATCTCAGGAGCCTCCACAACTAGGAGGCCAAAACAGACTTAGGTATAAAGGTTGAAGTTGAGGTACATGCACAAGTTCAGGCTTTCATTTACCTATAAACTTATTTTCATTAAATAGAAGTAATGTTACATTTATAGAAAATAAAAGAACAAGGATAGACTCCTGCACCAAGTAAAACACATAATTATACAAAATAAGATAACTTTATCCTAACTAAAAGAGAACACATACTCTAATTTTATTCTAAACGTAAAGAAACACAATCCAAAAAGAAAAGCCTTCATTGAAATAAAAAATAAAATAACTAAACATAAATTAATTAAAATCAATAATGATTTCCAATAGTTTATAACGTCTTAAAGGAAAAGAAATTTTCAGGCAAGTGTACAAGGTTTTAGGCAATTTGGAGGCTGTTCAGCCCTAGTATAGTTCAGATTTAGTGTTTCATTAGCTTAGAGTACATTTTCAGATCCAAAAAAGAAAAGGATTAAACTTTAGATCAAAGAATGAATTGCTCAAACCAAGGGAAAGACAGCATGAGCAAGGACATAAACCAATACAGTAAGTTTCTCCCTCCAACTCCCTAGTTTGGATGTATTTTAAGAAGTCTCCAATCAAATTCTAATTTGCCTTAAAATAAAATTTTCCATCTCTCATTTTCCATCATAATAACAACCACAGGCATCCCTAGCAATAAAAAACAAAATTAGCCATGGTAAAAATTAGAGACCAGACCATACCACAGCTGTCAAAATTAGGGTATTCAGGATCGGTAATACAAGATGGTGAAATTGACGATGTTATGTATTAAAATGAAAGCAACAAGAATCATTTCATTTGACACAAAGCACCTACTACGTTTAAATGAAAATTTTATTGAACCGTTAAAAAACCAATGTTATATGGTAGTAACTATTAGACATTAAAGGGTCAACAAGATCCAAAAATTAGGGTGGTAGAGAAAGAGATGCTGAGATAAATGCACGGTTGCGCAAGAAAGATGAGATCTATAATGATTGTATACAAAAAAAGTTAGTAAGGCATTTATTGAGGGGGAAAAAAGGTAGAAAATCTTAAAGTGGTTTGGACGTGCAAAGAAAGTCAGTAGAGATGGTGGTGAGGGGATTTTTTTTTTTTTTGGCCAGATTAGTGAGGGGATTTCGCTGTATAGTCTTTTGCCCTATAAAGAGGTGTAGAGGGAGATCAAGAAGGATATTCAAAGAAGTTACCAAATAGGAATGGGATCTCAATGAAGTACAATAGCATTGTACAACCCATGCAACCAACCTTAGTAGATGCTGTATTAACAATAATGAGGACCATGATCATATTCGTCTATCATATATACCAATACTAGAATAGAAGATGTTGTGTGCAACAATCCTGAAAATTACTTGAACTTTCATTGATGGAATTATAGGTCCCTATTCAATAATGGAATAACCCAGAAATAGACAAAGAGCACCAAGCCACTAAACTTGGGTAACCAGCTAAGTTTTAGATGTTAGACAAACTGTAAGTGAAAATAGGAACTGTTTATGAAAAATGAAATTTGGCTGAGGTAAATAACGGATACCCAATCCGAAAAACAAAGTAGAATCTGATCAATCGGTCATCCTAAGATCATGGGAAATAGGAAAAATAAGAGATTACAATCAGAAATTAATTAATGACATTAATCAATGTAAACTCTTCTGCTTAGTCGGTTTGGGCTTCATAAAGCTGACGCCTTCCAACGAAAATAACTGTTACAATCATAAAGCAATGGGCATAATGAAAAAAACCTTGTGATCAAATTCAGCCATCTTCAGGACAATGGGCACAACTACCGGTTTGGAACCTGACTTCTCCTTTGTAACACTAGTTCTGTCTGTGTCCAGTTCTCTAAGAGCACCACCTGCACAACAATAAACTTAATTGCAACCATCAAAATCTCAAGTAAAAATTGAAACATGAATGCCTATTTATATACACATTATGACTTCCACTACATGTTTGCACACAACTGTCCTACTAAAAGCATACAAAGAAGACGAACAAAAGAAACAAACCTTTATCTGCAGAGATATTTCCCGCTAGATCCGTGGATTGCACAGAATTCGATAGTGATTCAACTTGGTCAGTAGATATTTCCTGCTTGGTGCATGGAGGCCTTAAGTCACCATTATTCTCATCACCACAACAAACACCATCATGATTATTCTCTGAATTAGCTGTAGCATTATCAGCTGGTGCCACAGATACTGGATATATCTCCTTAGTCTCAACAGATACGTTAGAGGGTGATTTTTGTTCATCATCCACTAAGTAAATGCTAGGATCCAGATGTATCCCCTGGAAGAATTATTTAAAGAAAAAGAGAAAGAAAGTGAACCATCCTCAAAACAAATAAATTAAATGCATACTCCTCTGGTCCTATTTATAATGCACTTCTAACATGTTTCACACAGACCAAAGAAAACCTTAAACTACATTAACTCTTCATTAAAATATAGCAATTTTTCAACTTTACCCCTATTTAATATATACACCTTTCAAAAAAAAAAAAAAAAATCTATACTATAATAAATGAAGGATAATATGGTACATTCATGGTAAAAATTTAATAAAGTGACTTATAAATAGGACCAAAAAAAACCTTCTCTCTTTGCCCTATAAATAGGACCAGAGGAATATAAAACATGCCAAGGCTGATCAAGGTCTATCAAGGCCTAACAACAAATTTGTGTCGGACATGTCACTTTTCAAACAATAGTCACACATAAAAATCTGAGAGTTGTCTGAGAAACAAAACCTGCAAATTCCCAAAATTTTGTTTTAATCCACATAGAATTATACATTTCCCATTTTCCACTTTCAGTTCATTTCAGCCATTAAATATCCCTTATGTGGGTGAGCAAAAACAAAATTATACATAAATTTATGAAAAAGACATACAAAAATCCTCATGGACAAATATAGAATTACAACCGAACCAGCCACAACCACATTCTAGAATTCAAAGAAACAAGAATATTTTAAGCGTACGCTTCTTCAAATTTTGCTTGTATGAGTGTGTCCATCTAGAAATGAACCTAACATCTGATGGGTGGGATTTTAAGAAACAAACAAGCAAATTCCATAAATATTAGTTCATGCATACCTCAATAATTATTGGTTTTCCATCTTTCATAGCTTTTTTCAAATCACCAGCCAAACCTTTAAAAAAAAAAAAACATAATTAGCCAGCAAAAAAAAAAAATTCCTTTAAGGAAAGAAAATCCATAGCATTATCCGTAAAACAATATATTTTTTCCAATAATAAGCCAATTGGTTTTTAAACCATAATAGAAAACAAATCTTTTTTAAGTAAAAAAAAATTCAAAGCAAGAAAGAACTAATTATACCTTTACGCACAACTCTGCATTCTCTACAAAATTCAGTTATTAACTCCTCTGACGAACTGAAGTCTCGATACCATACAGGAGTAGATGCCAGTGGTGCACTACATAAAGACAAGAAAATGCGTATTATTGTTGAGAACAAATATACGTTGATAATGATTAGTCACTCAAGTAATAAAAACACCAAAGTCATCACATAAAATAAAAATGCTAGATTAAAATGTTATCCACTGCACTCCTCGGATCATGAATATATTGTGCATAAGTATGCTGTAACTATTGCTAACCTAAGTTTGAGCATAGGTGAGCCATATAATCCTTGACCGTTAGTGGCAAGTGCAGTTCACTTCTATAAACAACAAATACAAAAATGATGGGGATTGAGGAGTAACTTAGTCACCTTAAGGGAATGGATAAGACCACTACATAGTCATGTTAAGGGAATGGATAAGTTTACTACATTATTTCAAAAAGAAATTACCCCTAACCTAGCCATCCCCCACAGGGAAGGGGGACTCACGCAACCACTTTGAGCCATTGAGGCTAGATCCCACAGCCTTCCACTTAAGGGGAGTGTGTGTTGCTGCTTAAGCCAAAGGTTCTTGGCAACCGAAGAGCACACGAAAGATGAAATAGGCATACCACAGCCAAGATATGCATTTTAATGATCTCCATTAGAAAGAGTACACTGTCTTAGATTTGTGGCAATAATTGTTACCATTTATGAATGGAAAGTAAAATCGGTACAAGTTAAAGTTGTTTTGCATTTGCATTTATCAATATCAACATGAAAATTAACCTGATTATATTAAGCATAGTATTGCATTAGCAAGCATCTATATCCTTTCAAGTCTTGCCTTCCTAATATATATCCACTGGCCAATGCCAAGTTAACTACAAATTTTCAGCAACAGTTTGTTAACATGATTCACAAATAAATAAATTAGGGTCAAACGTGGACTTAAAATGCTCTATATAAGACGCCTCTTCATGAATGAATTTTTACATCTTTTTTTAATTAAAACAAAAAGTACAATCAACACAAAAGTGAAAAAGAGAAGTTTAGGACATACTCAGTAGATGTGCGCAACAATTCATACACCATATCTGTCTGCAAGCATCAACAAGAAAAATGTCATAATGTAACTTTATCCTAATAAAAATGTGATAACTCTATTCAAATATGATAACTCTATTCATATTAGATTAGAGCACTCAAGCTCAACCCTGAACTTAAACTTTCCTTAAAATTACAACAAATAAAATAACTTAGCATCAACAGTAATTTCCAACAGTCTACATCAAAGAGAAGACATAAAATAACATTTTACGGGAGAATTACAGAAACTGAGACTGAGCCACCACATTGTAATAAAATAATCACCCAAAAATTAAAAACTAACATATATGGGTTTAACTAGGTACCAAGTTAAAAAACGGCATTTAAAAAATTACTGTAGATGCAGTTACGCTGCAGATAAACAAAGCCTACCTGTAAGACATTTGGCAAATTTAGTCTCTGTGCAAGCTGGGTAGCAATAGTAGATTTCCCAACACAAGCAGTTCCACAGACAAGTATTACTAATGGTACTCTTTGGTGGTGAAACCTGGATGACAGATGATGGCAGCAAAATGAAAAGAATGATCATTATAATTACTATATAAGGTATTATGATTCATGAATTTCCTTCCTTCCTTTCTTCTTTGTATTTTTTCTTAGCCATGAAAGCCTTTTTATTACTCAGATAAATATAAACATCAAACACTTGTGAACCTATGAAAAAGAGAGATACTTCTTTTTGGTAAAGCTAAATTTTTTGTATAGTAGAAGTTTCATTTGGACCGACAGAATAGGAACAAAACAAGGTCATTTGAAACAAAACTTCTGGCACACCAACCTTGTCATCATCTTATAACGATTTATATACTCTTCTCCATACCCTCTCCGCTCCATAAGCTGCACATAAAGAGTCCTATTTAGAAAGTTTGACGAGATTATATCAGCATTTGGAAAACAACAGAAATCCAGTCATGGTAGCTCATAACAAATCCACAATAACATCAATTGATTCAAAAAATGTATATTATCATTAAGGAAACAACAGAAATCCACCCCTTATGATTTCATTAAAAAATTTGCAATGAAATGAAAAGAGAAGTTTCAACTTCCTCCTATGAAGACACAAAATCCTATATTCCTATGTAGATATGGGAAGCCCCAGCAAATTCAATTAGAAAACTTCCAAAAGAAGGAAAGGAATTTTATAGGAAAAAGAATAGGAAAAGCACAGCATAGAGGAAGATAAGCCCTGCTAAACAGGAAAATAGTAAGGCTCAAAACACAACAGAGCTCTCAAATCTCTTTGCATATCCAGTTTGGTATAAAGATTGATAGAATCAAGCACGTAGAATATATATTTTGCGATTTGAGCAATAAACACAATAAAGTAAAACAACCATAGCAAGCTCCAAGAGACAATCAAATCAATCCTTACGCAAAGTGGCATCTTGATATGGAGTTTTTAAGTTACTCATACATACAGGTTTAGAATGCTGAAAAATTAAAAAATGTTATGACTCTAGAAAAGCCAGAAGTGAAAAATTATTCTTGTTCAATATTTCATGATATGTCACTCCAAAAGCAAACTAAAAGTATAAAAAAGAACATATAGACAACCAATAAAGTAGTGTAAGCCATGCATTAAACAGATCAAAAGTTTCCAATATACCTTAAAAAGATTAGCTTCCAAATCAGACTGAGAGCTGCATTATAGAATCACAATGTAAAAAGAATTAATACACAAGTTGACCAGATTTCAGGAAAAAAGAAAAAGGGTAGGAAAAACCGTTAAGGAAAGAGAAAACATAGGAGGAGAGTGGCATACACATCAAGAAGGCTGTTGTCTATGAGCACCTTCTTGAGTTCGAGAGCAATTTTAACAGCCACATGGTTTGGGATCTGAAATCACAATGTCCTTGTGTTAGTACACGTCGCCTACTCAAACTCAGATCTTGAAGGCAAAATCAAACATAATAGAAGTTTAAAAAAGAATTATACAAGAGTATGTGACTTGTTAAGCATGTTAACTTGGTTTATTTAGTGTGATAGAAGGTTAGTTTGAGCAAATCAATTATATGATGCGAACGTGAGAAAATAAGGCCCTCAAGTTGGGTACTAACTTATAAATAGTGTCTCCCAGAGAAAAACAAATCAACTAATAAGCCCATCAGAGAAGCACCAAACCAAAGTCATAAAGACTATCCTTTCCAAAGCAGCTCAAGAAATAAAGATACGCATTCAAAATTGCAGATGTTTCTTTCCAACCAATACACCATAACACAGTAAAAACAGAACATTGCCACATGGATTTGGCCACTTTTCCTTCCAAAACAGCAAACCTTTAAACCTCACAAACAAAACCCCTCCAATGTTCAGGGCTGGTGCACCCAATGAGCAATAAAAACAACAAACATATAATCTCAGGACAGCTATCCTACAATGTAACAAGAGGCAAGCAGCTGACTCCAAATTATCCATACGCATGGCACAGAGTAGCAGCAGAAAGAAATGTTTTAGATCTCCAACACCCGCAACATGACATTAGCATCAACTCTCTAGTCCAGACAAACCACCTAACCTTAGAGGGAGCTTTAAAATATGAAATGAACATCTCCAGCAAAAAAATATCCAATTTAGAATAATGAGTCTGATACTGAATGAATAATTTACATGAACAACAAAACGTTCTGGAGTCCATATTCTGCTATGTGGATGGTGTGAAATTGAATAAATTCTAAAGGAACCAGAGATTAGTGTTCTAAATAATCCTGTCCTGATATTTCCTAAAAATTGAGAAATCCCATTCACAAATGGAATTATAGAATACAAGAATCATCATCATCATCATCAATGTTTCAATTACACCATGAAGATAGACTGCAGAGAGACTGCCGGAGACATGGGGAAATCTCCATAAAAGATGCATTCCCCACTCAGATATCCTCCTAGAAAAATGTTCCCCCATCAAGTAACTCAGGGTAGTGAAAAGTTGTAATACTTCAAATAAATAAAAATCTATGAGCTCCCATGAGTAGCACCGAATGCAAGGTCGACAACTCTTTTCCTTTGTACTCATTTTCACTTTCTAAAATAATTTCCAATTTGTATATTTATGAAACCAGCAGCTACTTTAAAAGGTTTTTGACTTACATCTCAAACTCACAAAAAGAAAGGCTCTTGCCTGTCCCTGAGTCTCAGTTCTCTCATTACCACCACCTCTATCCCAAACACAGAATCCAAACAGAGAAGAGGAGAAACAAGTTATAAGAAGGGTAATTTGACATCCTCAAGAATTTCCAAGCCCGACACCCCAAATTCTCAGAAATCAAGCAGTATCATCACCTGCCAGAACCAGCAGCATATTTTGCTATTATGGCAACTAAATTGCCAATCGCACCATGATACAATGGAGAAGGGAATCTATAACTATTCTCCCAAAATACTGTTTTATCCACTCTTGATTAAGTATCTTAGATCATTCTCCCCGCATTCAGAGGAGTTTCCCGTTGAATAGCAGATAACGTTCAAACAAAATAATTTATTTCTATCTCCTACTCTCATATAGCACCTCATTAAGACTTTCAATCATTCCAGGATGGCAGAATATCAACAGGATTAATCCAATTTATCATCTACTATAATAAAACATCCTTATCTCTTTCAAATCAATTCTGGCTTCATGTGAGCTCCATGCTTGTATTACTTTTTAATAAACAACACGAGTTATTTTGTAAAATTTACGAACACATTTTCCATGATCAAGACATACATAGGGAAAAATCATATGACAAAAGTATAATTTAAATGGCTGTATTACAACACCTTGGTCACGGTCAGCATTCTACTGAGCAAAAATCTGGACAGAACATAGTAGTGATCCGCATTATCACCCAACCACACCTTTACCTGCAAATTCAAAAACCACCAAAAGTTTCAGAGAAAAGAATGCAAAATCAGACATAATCAATAGAGTCGTTCTCTGCTCCTTGCTCATCATGATCCAGGGGCATGAGATAAATCCTCAGTGACATGAAAAAGATTCACTTTTCCAACTTGCTACTTTCCTAATTACATTAAGAACGAACTTCAACGGGAATTGAGACCTTGACGAAATCGTATTTGGAGGAATTGTTCCGAGAAGAGAATCTGACGCCAAACGACGGTTCTTGCTTCTCGTCACTGTCTTCGCCACTATTGGGGCTTGAAATCAGCACTCCCTTGTCCTTCTTCATCTGCTCCCACGCACAACTGCAAAACCCCCTTCCACTCTCCAACACCAGCACAAATCCGAAAACCCAATAACTAAATTTCTTAGATTGACTGCTTGTCCTTCGTTTTAACCGATTTGATTATCTCGATAAATCAATATTTCCTGGAATTCACAATTCGCCAGATTCATCTGCTGATCTCTCATGCGACGTTTCCGAATTATATATGCTCTAAAATCCTACGTAAGAACGATCCGGAAGTGTGAAATAAAGTGCTTGGTTGACATGAATCAAATCATAACACAATCAAGGTCAAAAAAAAAAGAAAATCACAACACAATCAACCAAAGTTCGAATTTAGGGGACTGGTCAACAGAAAAAACCAAAAAAAAGGAATTTGGGGACATTTGGATTGAAAATTTAAAATCACTCTCAAAACCGTTCTTTTCTTCTTTTATCTAAGAGGCAGACCCAAATGATTACATCACAGCTCAAAAATATATTTGTTCTTTTAATTTTTTAACTCTAAAATTATTAGTCTTAAATAATAATTTTTTATGACAATCATGATTATTTTGAATATTAAACTTAATATGTTAGTATTTAGTAATGTTTTATCAGCATTCAAGTGCTCAATATCATCATGTTTTGTTCACAGTTTTAGGATTACAAGATTAAAAATTTACTTTTTAAAATTAAAGGACTAAAATAAAACTTTATATAAAATAAAAAGACTAAAAGTATACTTTAACTTTAAATGATTTAAGATTACGATTGACATCAAAATCATGAACTTCCATTTATAAAAAAAAAAAAAATTATGTCGTTAAAATACAACGAGCTGGCTAGAAGCAATTGATTGTTAGATCATGCCTAAGGTATTATCTGAGTCACTTTTTAAAGGCCATGCTAAAGAATCAAATTTTATCACATAAGAAAATCTTATATTTACATTATTATTAAACGACAAAAGTTCTTTGTACTTTTTATTTGAAAGCATAAAAATATTTTTAACTTCCAAATTTACTTTTTATTTTATTTTATTATTCATAGGCTGTTTTGAAAAAAATAAATAAATATAGGAAATAAAATAAATTGAGATCTTATATTCAGGATCAAATGGAATCTCTAACTAAATCTTATAGTATTAGATCAATCAATGATTTTCTTTGCATTCAGGTTAATAGGGAATTTATGGGTTTAGTGTGGAGCAAAAACCCTCCCTCTTTGCGACAGTAACCATTGGTTTTGCAGGTGGATGGGTATATGTGGAAATAATTAAAATTTAGAGATGTTAACTTTATTTGCTAACTGTAAATGTTGATGGGGACAAATAAAGATGTGGTAAAACGGTTCAATTCACGGGTTTTGGCCTATGACATATTGAGGCTATGCGGTGTGGCCTTAAAAACCCGCTTGCAGATAGATTAGCTTTTAATCATCCTAACCTGCTAATTTGTCAACAATTATTTATTTTTTTAATTTTTTTATCCAGTATAAAAAATATATTGAAACTTCTATTTTTTTCTTTAAAATACTTTATTGAAAGCACTAAATAAACGATAGGTACGTTTTTTTGTTTTTTAGATAGAATATAATATATAATAATATAATTATAATAATTAATAAAATTTTAAAAATAAAAAAATAAATATGGGTTAGCTTACTGGTTATTTAATAACAAGTTCACTTTTAGTCCATCCTTAGCTTGGCATTTTTGGCAGATTGGACTCACACCAGCCCTATACAAATCAATTTGACAACAGCAAGCAATCGACGTACTTTTGAGGTGATTGGCTTATTGAGGTTCTAAAAATGTGTTAGAACCAATGGCCATCAAAACAAGGCTTCTTTTTTTTCTTTTTTGGGCTAAAGAAATATATTCATATCATTCAAAGAAAAAAGAGTCTACAGAACATCAACACAAAAACCAAGGAAAAAAAAGAGAAAGTAAAATGGAACACTCTATAGTTGAATAATGCAAGTCAACTTCCAATGCTTTAACAAACAAGAAAACGGCTATAGAAGGTGGTAGTCTTGAGAGTTGCTCAACAAAAGTTCCCAACTTCTTTAACGCCAATGCTGCATCTTAAATCGCAGCTTTAATCTACTCCCTTGAAACAAGATAGGAATGCACTGGAATCCAAAATGGACCTCCAGGACAAGCAGCATACAAAAACGAGACCATACATCATTCAGCCTAAGAGCACCAACATCTAACCACAACACTCTATTTATAACCAAAGATACTAGAGACATCAAAAGACAATCATATTCTCCAGGTGGAACCCATCTCAAATCATCCTGCTTCTTTAGAACAACCTGTCCCAAGTTTGCATAATTTCTTTTCTTGCAAATAATAAAAGCAAACCAAAAATACAAAGGTAATACTAGTTTCATGACAAATCCATCCCTGTTAGTGAGAAAGCAATATTACAGCCACAAACTCTCCTCATAATCAACATAAAAGGACCAAATTAGATTCTCAGCTAAAACAATAGCAAATAGAAGGATAATTACATTCCAAATCAAATCTAGCCTCATTCGACTCTCCTTTCCTTCCATTTCTTTCCCATGTAAAGGATAGTTATTATATATTTCAAAAGCTCTTCTCAACCAGTTCCAACTCATCAAGATGATACAAAATTTCAACAAACAAATCAGGACCAAGCAGGAATCAGCATACTGCATACCTTAGAGACATTAGGTTTAGAAAGCCTTCATCACTATACCAATACCATCTTGGAGTCAACGAATGCATAAGCCATGAAGATAGCTCCAACCTAACCTTGAATCGCTCACCATCTTTGGATCGGAAAAATAGAGCACTCGGATTGACGCTATTACAGTAGAGATTGCTTCTGAATATTTCTTTTAGCAGTGAGATGCCAGCTTTTGCAAACCAATCATCCTCACCACTCTTTAATCTCTGCATCGCGACCTTTGATCATCTCAGTCTCCATCACTCTGATATTTTTTCTATTAGGGATTTGCCCTCAACTAACTTGGCTCTACCTTGGCCAACACCTGTCAGTCCTAATTTCTCAAATCTATAAAACAAATGCTTCTCCATTTCACTCCTAACAAGCTCTAAAAAACAGACCACGACACACACACGCCCTCAACTCACACACACAGCCGGACGTCCTCTCCCATGGCAAATGCCGAAGAGAGGCGCGGGAAAAAGAGCTCCCACTAACGGAGAGTGATAGGATAGAAATAGAAAAGAAAGATAGAAGAGAGTTCAGGGAAGGAGAAAGATGGAGAAAGATAGGAATGAGGAGAAGAGAATCAGAGGAGGGGTGATCCGAGAGAGAAAAACAGAGAGCATACTGAATAGTACGCTGTATATTCATGAAAATCAATACTGTACAATGGGTACCCTGATCGTGTCTATCTACAGGCCTAATTACAAAACTAATCCTTCTTAAATAACTCTCCTAACGGTTAGTGACCGTTGCTCCTACTACTATTTAAAAATAATTATAATAATACATCAATATTCCCCTCCCAAAAGATCCTTGCCCTCAAAGATTTGGAATAATAACAAAATCTGGAAATTGTTGCTGAAAACTACAGAGGGGCATCCAGGAGGCTTCTTCATCTAGTAAACCTTGCCACTGAACAAATGTTTTAGTAATTAACTTCCTTCTTTTTCTAGCATTTCTTTTTCCCAAAATCTTCTCTAGAACTAGTGCTGGTGGCACTTCAGGAAAATCAGGAGGTGGATGTCTAGGTTTAACAGAAGGGTTTGGGCACAACTTTAACAGAGAGACATGAAAAGTAGGATGAATTCTTGAGTCAGGAGGTAGGTCTAATCTGTAAGCAACAGCTCCAAGCTTCCCAATCACCTTGTAGGGGCCAAAATACCTAGGAGCCAATTTTTGAGAACTCCTAGAAGTAGCAGAAATATGTCGGTAAGGCTATAGCTTTAAGAAAACCCATTGCCCAATAGCAAATTCCTGATCAGCTCTTTGCTTCATTATATTTGCTACCCTATTGAGATGATGTTTTAAAAGACCCATCATTTCCTCCCTCGCTGTAAAACTCCTATCGACAGCATCCAAAACTGAATTATGAGGTAAATAGGGAGAATGGATTGGCGGTTTCTGCCCATAAAGCAATTCATAAGGTGTAGACTTTGCAGCTGAATGAAATGAAGTACTATACCACCATTCAGCTTGTGCAACCCATTTACTCCAATCCTTGGGTCTTTCCCAACACATGCATCTTAAATATGTTTCCAAACAGTGATTCAGCACCTCGGATTGGCCATCTATTTGGGGATGATAGGCAGAGGAAAGCTTTTGATCAACCCCTAGTACCCTTAAAAACTCTTTCCAGAAGTTGCTCACAAACAAAGGGTCACGATCACTTATGATTTCAGTAGGTGCTCCATGTAATTTATAAATCTGATCCACAAAAACCTGAGCTAATGTGGTAGCAGAAAAAGGGTGAGAAAGAGGAATAAAATGAGCATATTTGCTCAAGCGATCGATAACAACCCAAAGGGTGTCCTTGCCAAGTGATTTGGGAAGTCCCTTAATGAAATTCATAGTCACACTTTCCCAAACTCTGCTTAGAATAAGGAGAGGTTGTAGTAGTCCCGGGGGTGCAATAGCCTTATATTTACATCTAGCACAAGTATCACAAGCCTTGACAAATTCTGTCACATCATTAATCAACTTTTTTCTACCAAAATAAAGCTTTGATGCTTTTGTAAGTAGCTTGTATACCTGAATGGCCCCCTTGAGGACAAGAATGGAGCCATTGTAGGATTTGTGTCCTAAGGAACTGGTCCTTGCCAATGACTAGCTTCCCCTTTCTTCTTAGTAATTCACCATCCCAAGTGAAATGCCTCCAAGTTCCATTATGCTGCTGCACCTTATTGAGAAGAGTGGCGGCAAAATCATTGTCCTCCCAACTTGTTCTTATTTTCTGCAGTAACTCAGGAGAGGACGTATCAAAAGTTATGTGCATAAGTTGCTATCTAGGCATTCTGGACAAAGAATCAGCTACAGAGTTTTCATTCCCCTTTTTATATTGAATCTCATAGTCAAACCCAGCTAGCTTTGTCACCCAAAACTGTTGAAAAGAAGTATTTAGGTTCTGCCCCAAAAGGTACTTAATACTTTGTTGGTTTGTTTTAATGAGAAACTTTTGCCTCTCTAAGTATTGTCGCCAATGCAACACAGCTAGCACCATTGCCATAAGTTCTTTTTCATAAACTAAAAGTTGTTGGTGTCTAGGAACTAATCCCTTGCAGAAAAAGGCTATGGGCTATCCTTCTTGCATCAATACAGCCCCAATTCCAGTGCCACATGCATCAGTTTCCACTATGAATTCCTTAGAGAAATCTGGAAGCCTAAGAACAGGAGCTGAAGTAAGAGCATCTTTAAGTGTTTGGAAGGCTTGAGTTGCTGAATCTGACCACTGAAAGGCATTCTTTTGTAGTAATAAGGTTAGAGTTCTAGCCAAGTCACCATACCCCTTGATAAACCTCCTGTAATATCCAGTTAACCCCAAGAATCCTCTAAGTTGTTTAATGTTGCTAGGAGTGGGCCAATTGACCACAGCTTCTATCTTTTGTGGATCTGTGGAAACCGTGCCATGCTTGATAATGTGACCTAAGTAATCCACAGCAGCTGCAGCAAAGGCACACTTACTCCTCTTAACAAAGTAACAATTCTCTTGCAAGATTTTGAATGCTATCTGTAAGTGTTATTGATGGTCTGCAAGAGAAGAACTATAAATCAATATATCATAAAAAATAAAATAAATTTTCTAAGAAATGGTCTAAAAATGTCATTCATAGCTCCTTGAAAAGTAGCTAGTGCATTAGTCAAGCCAAATGGCATGACCAGCCACTCATAGTGTCTAGAATGGGTTTTAAAAGCTGTTTTATGGGTATCATTTGGTTCCATACGAATTTGGTGGTAGCCAGCCCTAAGATCTAGCTTAGTAAACCACCTAGCTTTACTTAATTCGTCAAAAAGATCTTCTACTAAAGGAATGGGGTACTGATTTTTGACAATATACTTATTAAGCTCTCTATAGTCCACACACATCCTCCATGTCCCATCCTTTTTCTTCACTAATACTATAGGAGCTGAAAAGGGTGAACAACTATCTTGAATTACCCCATTCTCTAACAATTCATTTATAATCTTTTCAATAACATCTTTTTAGGCTGTTGGGTATCTATAAGGTTTCAAACTAATACGATTTGTCCCTTTTTTTTAGAACAATAGGGTGGTTATGGCCTTCTCTCAAAGGAGATAATCCCTTAGGATCCCCAAAGACTTCTTGAAAATCATCCAGGACCCATTGAATTCCAGGAGGAATACTGCTGTCCACCTCTGAAATAGCAAAGCATTGAACCTCTGTTCCTTGCTGGTGACCAACTGGAGTAGGAAGAGTTGTTCTTCCTTCAAGTGGGTAGTCTCAATCCTTGCTGGTTGCACCATTTGATAGGTCCCTGGGATGTTGGCTTGCAACTTCTGTAATTTCTGTCATACTAGAAAAACATAGTGAGAGTTTCATAATCCCAAAAAGCATTTTTAATACTTTTAAGCCATTTTAAACCAAGAACTAAATCATAGGTTTTAAGATCTAAAATTCTAAAATCAAAGACAAATTCTAGGCCCTACATTTTCCAACAAAGCCCTTCCCAAAGTCCATGAACTTTGAGTTTCTTGCCACTTGCTATTGATACAAAGGATGTTTCTCTTGTATCAGTTTCCTAACCCAGCTTCTTGGCAAGCCCAAGGTCCAAGAAATCATGCGTGCTGCCATTGTCAATAAGAATTTGAACGGCACGCTTCTTAATAGTTCCTTGGACCCTCATGGCATCTGCACTGTTGGTCCCTTCAATTGCATGTAAAAAGATATGTGGAGTGGTCTCTGTTTCATCCCCTTCCATGATCTCCAAGTCTTCTTCTTCAGCATTATCTTCTTCTTCCAAAAGAACAAAATGGAGCTGCATTTTCTGGCGTTGTGGGCAGATGTGGTCTTTGGAAAATTTCTTATGGCAGAAGAAACACAGATTCTTGGCTCTGTGTTCAGCTTCCTCTTCTGCAGACAAAGTTTTGACCGGCTTCAATGCTCTTTTAAAGGACGAAGAGGAATTTTTAAAAGATGATGAAGAGGACTTATCTTTTGTGTGGGACCCACTCCTCAACAGGGTGTTTCTGGGATGAGTCAACGTATTTGAAGTAGATGATGCCACCTGGTTTGTGACTGACATGTGGGGTGTAGACTTGAAAGACGTGTTCTTCCTGGTCTGCTTGGAGATGGCTATTTCTTGGATCCTCACAAGCCTTCAAGCCTCATGCAATGTTCTTGGATTGAACATCTAAACCGAGGCTTCAATATCTGGTTTGAGGGCCAAAACGTAGGTGTCCACGAGGTAGTCTTCCAAAAGATCGAGCTTTGCTGTGATTGAGTCAAACTTAGCGTTGAATTCCACGAGAGACCCAGTTTGATGCAGGTGAGTGAATTCAACTATGGGGGTGTTGAGCAGAGGGCTGAAAGCATCTGTGAGGAGCCCGACATACTAGTCCCACCCCATCAGACGTCCCTTGAGACGTTTTTCCATCGCGAGTTGCCATTTGAAGCTCTGATCGTCCAGATGTATCGATGCGACCTTCACCTTCGAAGCCTTTGGAGTCTCATCGAATTCAAAAAATCTTTCACATCTTGCAATCCAGGCAAGCACGTTCAACCCGTTGAACCTCAGAAACTCCATTTTCGTAAATTGGGTCGGGCGTTGGTAACCATTGCGAGCTCCCCTGCGATCTTGATCATTAGGTCGCTCATGATTATTGTTGCGAATCATGAGTGTGCCGTCTCTAACATCCCGAACAAGATTCTGAAGCTGCGTGGTGACTCCCAATGCTGTTTCTTGAAGTTCATCGACGGTGCCTAGACGTTGTTTGATCAAATTCAAGCGTTCTTCCATTATTCTTGTCTGGCCACGGGTAAGTACCATACACCGAGCAGGAATTCGTGAATAATGCCAACGAAAAGGCTTGCTCTAAATACCATTGATAGGATAGAAATAGAAAAGAGAGATAGAAGAGAGTTCAGGGAAGGAGAAAGATGGAGAAAGATAGGAATGAGGAGAAGAGAATCAAAGGAGGGGTGATCCGAGAGAGAAGACAAAGAGAAAAACAGAGAGCATACTGAATAGTGCACTGTATATTCATGAAAATCAATACTATACAATGGGTACCCTGATCGTGTCTATTTATAGGCCTAATTACAAAACTAATCCTACTTAAATAACTCTCCTAACGGTTAGTGATCGTTGTTCCTACTACTATTTAAAAATAATTATAGTAATACATCAGAGAGAAACATGCTCCCACAAAGATAAACCCTAGGAGAGAAGAAAAGGGGGGAAAACCCCGCCGTCATCAAAACAAGGCTTCAAGTTTGCAGACACATGGAATTCCACCACATTGTAATGCAAACTGATTCGATTCGCTAGATGCTTTTAACATCTTGTGATGAGGAGGAGGGGTTGTGATATAGATCATTCTATAAGTCTATCATCAATGAGATTAGGGATATATATATAAATATATATGTGCTTTTATAATGGCTGGGATGTAGAGCTACATCACATACTTGCAGGTATATTATAAATCGTGTCATCATGGTCATTCTGAGATGATGATGGTATCAGATGTGCCAAATGGTTGTTCACGAATGTGCCTCACGACTTGTTTTTAATTAAGTTTTTTGTTGCATTCTTGGAGTTCCGGAAGATTAAGAAAAGTTCCCCAATAAAAAGTATACCATGCAAATTTTGTATATGCAGAATATCCTATGATTCAGGTTCCTCTTGCATGTAAAACTTTAATAGGAACCTTTTTTCCCAATTTTTTTCTAGGAGTGTATTTTCTTTTGAGTTTTTGCGTGCCTTTTTATCAAGAGAAAAGGAGTTTCTTTTTGCTACATGGGTTTGTATACATGTTTGGGTTAAACCTTGAATTTGTTCAGAAAGATTTGCTTTGAAAGTTTTTAAAGATGAAAGCTCAGTACTCAGAAGTTGTTTTGGGTATAAATTTATTGTGAAAATTAAAATCGTATGAATATTACTCTCTATTATTAAAAAATAATGTTCACGGTTAAAATAATATTATTACCCATTAATATTTGTAATATTATTATGATTATACGTCTAGAGCAAATTTACACGCTAAAAAAACCTTGAACGCTAAAGTTGCCGGAGTAGCAATGGCAGGGAAGCCCAAGACGTGAAAAGAGTGCTCATAGCAAAGATCCACAATAATTCCAAACACTCACATTATTATTTCCATCCTCTCATTCTCACACCATCATTCCGATGACCTTTTCGGATTCCCCACAACAAATCTTCCCGCCTTCTTCTCCGCCGCTACGTGGCCGCACCCGTCGATCACGGCTGTTAGATCGAACGGTGGAGCGTCGTCGGCCAGCCACTGATCGACGTAGAACATGGACTGCGAGCAGGGCTTGTGGGGCCCAGTCGACGTGACCTCGACGTAGTCGCAGAACCATCCGTGATGAGCTCCGGCACCGTCGGAGGTGAGGTTGAGGCGGCACACTGGCGAGCCGATGCAGGGGCCACGGCCGCTGAAGATGTCGTGATTGCCTCGCTCGAAGTAGTCGTGTGTGGGGCCCATCAGGCCCCATGACCTGAGGTTTGGGACCGACACCGACCGGCCTGAAGCATCGCTGAGCGTCACGCTGATTTTGGCATCGGTTCCGCCTTTGATGATAGAACCTGTCTTCACGTATAGCGTATAGACGCAGTCCCTCTGTTTGATGAAATGTCCAAGTGAGATTAATTTACATTAAACAATATCGCACTTAATGGCGACCAAATCTTTCAATATTAGGATTTCGGAAATAATCTGTAGTGAAAATTTACGCCAAAACAACCTGATCTGGGTTAGATAGCTTATTCATTCACCAAGTAAGAAAGCTACAGAAAAAATCATCTAAATTAGTGATCAAAACGATGTACATTTTTGACCTTGTTAATCTTTGATCTGGGGATAGCTTTAGATGGATCCTTAAGAAAGAGAATTTGATGATGGTGGTGATTCATGCAGATCTACTAGTAGCAATAAGCAATAGCTGAGAACAAGAATTTTTCCTTCGATTTGATGGAAAGCTAGAGAAAAAGATTAGATCTTTTAAAGGACTATGACTATGAATTGAAGAAAACTTACATCGGAATCTGCAGAAACTGCAGCGAGCAAGAGAGCTAGACATAGAAAAGAGAGTTGGCAGCTCTTCATGTTATGTGTCACTTGCTTTCTCGGTCACTCTCTCTCTGTATATTATTTGTGTTGTCTGTTGCAGTATTTATAGGCAATTTTCTTGTTCAAAAGGAATGAATTTTACTCTAGATTGTTCAAAATGACACTTGGTTACATCTTATTATTATCTTATTATTTCTTAAATCTGATTTCAATTATTCAGACGAAATGTGCATTTAAAAATTAAAATACATCCTTAAGTATGTAGATAAAACCGAAACTCAAGATGTTATAACGTGAGAGGGTTCCCCCTAAAAATAGGAAAATAAATTCTATTCTTGGCGGTGAAATTTGATAAAGAAAACACTTTTTTTATATTCCTACAGTGGGTTTTATTTAATTTAATAAAAAGGTTATAAGTATATAAATTCTGAAATTTAATAATAAGATCAAGCACTCAATCCTCTGAACTATTTTTTTAGGTATATTCAATACTCTGAAATTTTTTATGGTGTTTTTAACACTCTAAAGTATTTTTTTTAGGTGCCTTTGGAATCCTAAAAAATACTAAAAATACTTTATTGTGGTTAATATATATTTATTTAATGGACTTTTTGAAAAATTAATAATAAAATTAAATCTGTTTATAAAATTGCATCACAAAATATTTTAAAATTTTAAATGTATCTGGAAAAATATTTCAAGACAATGAACACATATTTTAACACGATATACATGTCAACATAATAGTTCGGACACCTATTATTACTGCTCCAATTTAGCAACACATGAAGATAGTGACAGCTAAGGAAAACGCGCTGGGGACACGAGCTCACTGCTTTAAATGACATGATTGAAAGGAATAAAACCGTAAATATGCCCCGGTTAAAAAAAAAAATATCACAAACAATATGTCAAATTTTTCACTCAATTCCATTGAATTCTAGGCAAACACATTCAGTCCAGTCTGCAGAGGCGGCTTAAAAACCTTTTTTTCAGTATATATCACTCACATACCTTTTCTTCCAGTATAGTAGAATCGCTCTTCTTTATACTACAAATGCTCTTAATGATTGCTAATTAGATGACCCTCCACCAACGCATAGTTCATAATTTATGAATAGGACAACTGGTTTTTTTTTTTTTTCAATGAAAACTGGATAACCATTACCTAAAAAGAGATACACCCTATTCAACCTTTAAAATGCATGTTCTAATAGCATGAAAAATAAGTTTTGTTAGTTCATCTAGTTCAAGAGTACATGTCTAGAGTTTAGGGTTAAGGTATTTAGGATGCTGAATAAATTACAAAATATTTTGAAGTTCTAGATAAACCTTAACACCTAAATTTTATCATATATATATATATATATATATAATCATTTTTCCCTGAATCATATAGAGCTTAAGAAAATAAACTGTGCTATTCATTACTTACCCATCATATTTATTTATTATAAATTTGATATTTAATATTAATATTGATAATGATAATATATCAATACATCAATAATCGCAAGATCACCACCACAGGAATGACAAGAAAAAATATCAAGCAATGTCTAATGTCTTAGGAGTAGCATAACAATAGCCTGTTTCATGAATGGCGTGTCAATTATGTACACATAAAATTCCTATCCACCAGAACAGCGCATAGCCATAATTTACATGACATGTACACTTTATCAAACTCATACGAGATGCAGTTCTAATGTGCGCAGCAAAGACAGAAAAACTTGTTAAAAGTTCTTGTGCACCGGACTGAATCAATGGAGAAGTAGCTGAAAAGTCTGATTAATAGTTAAATTTGCAGCTTCCACCTGTAGAATCCAGAAAGTTCAAATCTCATGAAAAGGGCATATCACCATCATCAATAATTCAATATCTCAATAAAGCCACGCATTATGGAAAATAAAGAAAGGGAAAAAGAAAAAGAAAAATAACTTATAATAAGGCAAAAGCAGCTGAAAAGGTTAGAGATACATATATAAATGCATCACCTACGATTAGCCAAATCCATAATCATTTCGTCCCCCACGGAAAAAGAAAAGACCCAAATTCTTAATCATGTGCACAGATATGGTCAGAACGTTTATCCCATTTACTAATCACGTAATTGCATAGCCCAGTGTGCAAATTAACTGATCAATTCTAAATTATAATTCAAATATGACATGCAAGAAGTTTGGATTTCATTCAACATATTTACAAATAAAAGAGCTTAAAACATGTTAAAGCTTTTCAAACATTCAAACATCGAAAAAGATTTTGGTTGACAGTAAAGAAAAATACTCTTTGTACATAACTTCAGAGGCCTTCAACCAACAAAATTAATGTTTTATGTTACATTTGTGTGGATATAGGAAGTAAACTTGGGCAAATGTTATAATATTTGATTACATATAAACTATTATACCTTCAGCATTGTTTATGAACTGCTTGAGCTAGATTCCTTTACTAAATGAGTCAAATTTGATCACAATTATTGACTTAACTAAAGCTGGGGTCAGTCTATCTAAGATACCAGCACGAGCATAGATAATGATTGGCTCCCCTCACCTTGATTACAAATTCCTGTGCACAGGGATTCAAATAAGCCAAGGTCTTGCCAGTTGCCACTAGTTGACAAGGCACTTAAAACATGTGACTCTCCCGAAAACATATCTGGCCTTGTTATCATGTTCCGTTGTTTTCATGGTTGTGTCAATTTCAAGGTTTCATGTCAGAGCTCTTAAGTAAGCAGCATGACCTCAAGGGCAATGTTGTTAGAGAACTCAAGGGCAATGTTGTTAGAGAATCAGAGGGGGCATTAAACGAGTCAAGAGCACTGGTTTGCTAAACCATGGTTGAACCAGTGTCAATTAATTAAAAAATATTCTTAAATAATACGTGTTAAAAAAAAAAAAACTTAGACAATATTTATTCATGTATCATCATACACGTCCAAATACGTCCTATAATATTTATTCATATCAATCTCATGTATGCCAAACTAACATACTTTCATACACACTCAAATTAAATACTATATATTGCCTATTACAAATCCCAAAATCATCAAATATGCTATATTAATATTTCAACTAAACTAGTGTAAGCTTCCATAATAAACTGGAACTGCCAATAAATCATCAATCATCAAATATATATATATATATATATATATATATATAACGCTAAAGAAAACCCAACTAAATGACAAATAAAAACACGAAATAACACCATAGAAAAGTTCCTTGTCCAAACCACCCATCCGGTTTTGACCACCCTGCACAAGGGTGTTATAATAAAATATAACATGCCCAAGCATAATGTTATAATATCCATATCAAGATATAAAACTACACATGCAACTAAGGATCTGTTTGGTATGAGGGCGATGGAGGGAAGAGAAAAAGAGGGGAAATTTTAATGAGCTCGTTTTGAAAAATTCAAGAAGTGGGCTTAAAATTTTTCAACTGATTTTTCTTACTCTTTTATATTACATTTACTCTTTATCAAAATTTTATAACCCCACTTTTCTAATTTTTCAAATGGCCTCATTAAAATTTTCTCTCCCCTCTCCTTCGCTTCATTTCCCTCTTACCAAACACACCCTAAGATCTCTCCCACAGTGGATCCACAACCCAGTGCGGATCATCTTCCTATGAGGAATTCCACTGGGGCATGATTGGGATATCTTACAGTGCTCTATGAACATATTTTTTGCAAATTTCGCAGATGCACTTATATGATAATTTAATAAAAATAAATAAAATTCATAACACTCAGCTTATTGATGCATTTTATTGACGAGTAAATAAATAAAATAAGGATATTTATGTAAAAGTTCAACAAAATACATTAAATATTAAAAGGCTAATACTATTAAGAGAGAAGCCCAAAGATTCATAAAACAGCAGTTAACTTGTACTTCTTTTTTATTTTCTACTATTTTATTGTCAAAAGACATTTTCTTGGTTCTAAAACCATTGGACAAACATCAAGAGCAAAAGGGTATTCCGAATTCAGCACTAGAAAATCAGCTAGAAAACTCGGATACCATATATGTCTGTGCGTGCAGGAAAATGCACAGATATGAGTATGCAAATTTGCATGAATATCCATTAAGTGTGTGAGGGCGAGTATACATATTGACGTATGTGTGAAACTCTAAGTGTGTGTATTAAAAAAAAACAAAAAGAAAACCCATAAAGAGAACAACTGCATTATCCACATAAGCAGTACAACATCAAATAGTGGTAGTAAATTTTTTCTGCATGAAATAAATAAAATCCTACATGAGAAAAACATAATTATAATAAAATATGGGATAAAGCAGGGAACTGAAAGATATTCTCCAATGGATAAAAAGGAAAGGAAAATGTTGGTCTTCTATTTCTTGAACAGAACTTATGGCCACGCCAGACAGAAATAATCAAGCTGCAAGTAAACACTGGGATAAACATATTCAATAGATGACCGATAGATATTAATGATAAATAGAATGAGGAAGCCATGGAGGCATGACAGACTGGAAGTGACACATGCTTGGCAGAGTTAGGTGGAATTTACTGAATGTAAATAATAGAATTAAGATAGCAATAACAGTTACCTTGGTCAACGGCTGGAGCTGCCAAGATCAAAGTCCATGGTGTAGTCATACTCAATTGTTGGAATTACAGAGGCCATGAATTTCAAGAACAAGAATAGATACCTATGAAAATAAATAAATGATTGTAGCATCTCATACAAATTAGAAGAAATAGAAAGAATGAAAGATCACTTCTGCTTCTGCACTCAGCCATTAGCAGTAACATGAAATGCGAATAGTAGTGCTCAGATTTAAAAGTTGGCACTTTGTTCTTCTTCAGTTTCAAGATGGAAGCCTAATAGAGTGCCAATTGATAAAGAAGTCGTGTGCACAGTAAATTGGGGGCTGACTTGGAATTTAATCAATCTAATTTTATTTTATTAATATTTATTTCAGTGATTTTAGAGGTTAGTTTAAGTGCAGCACATGTTCAGGAGTAATTGGTGTCTGTTATGATTATTTACTGAGCCCAGAATTTTATTTTAAATATTTTTATTTTCCTATTCCTAAGTCATGCTTTAATGTGCCTAAATTTTTGGAAGTAATATTACCTCCGGTCCTAATTATAAGAGCTAGTTGACTAATTTGAGGAGATTAAGAAAGTAAGTTGAGTTAGTTATTTGTTCTAAATAGGTGTTGTCTTTCCTAAAATATCCTTGCTAATCAAGTGTATTAACTAGAACTATAATTATTAGAAGGATTATCTTGGAAAAAATTGAGTAAATATGAGAAGGATCATCCTTATTAGTTTGTGAAGTTAGATCCTAATTCCATACCCCTCCGGTCCTAAATATAAGACCCATTTTGTGGTATAAATTAGACTAAAAATGGGTCTTATATTTAGGACAGGAGGAGTATTCTAATAAACACTTTTCTTCCTTCTCTCTCTCAATCTATCTTAGATCCTATCAAAGACTACAGTGACCAGTATAACTATTCAACAAGTACAAATAAAATTCATGATTGCCGTATTATGGAACTATCCATTAGAAGGAGGGAACAGTCCTTCCATTAAGCCCTAATAATATAGAATCCAATTTCAGAAGAATCGTACCAAGTTTAAGTACTTCATGGATTTTCAAGAACCCAGAGAAATCTCATTTCTAGGGAGACCAAGTACCAAGTCAAAGGGGACTAATTCAACTCTTCAATGAAGGCATATGTCATCAAATTCTATTGTAGACAATTAAAATGATTGATGACATTATCAATTCATAAAACAAAAATTTTTAACATCTGCAAATCAGCCGGAAAATCAAAATATAAGTAGGTAACAGGAAAAAAGCACATGAGCATGCTTAACAGTGAGCTCTAACAGGTTTAAACCTTTGGCCATTTGTCAGATCTCAAATTGTCCAATATCAGAAGACATGGACCAAACATTCTCTAAAGAGGGGCTGAAAGTACATTTTCATTGAAAAAGCATTTTTGAAGTTAATAGTTAATCTATTTGCATGAAATATTGATGATGTTACAGAATCCAGAACCAGAGCTATCATATACATCTAACCAGAAAAGTTGGAATTTATGCCACACAGAGCAATTGAATGCCAAAGAAAGCAGCTTATATGAGGCAGAAAAAGGTTTTACTTGTCAACTTCTGGTTCAACTCCTCGTGACATCAGGACATCAATAATTTTCTTCATCACTGCTCCATGTCGACAAGGATGAATAGATGCATGCTTCCCAGGCAAGTGAGGGTGGTCCTCAATTGTTACCTGCATATGCATTCAATAAGCTCTATGCAATTGAACTTTGCATTTTGCTGAACTGTCCATATTCCTAATTTATAAGCACATGCTAGCTTGCAGAATAGTGGAAGCCCAGAAACATAATCAATGAGGACAATGATCACTGCATTTTAATTGATAACTAACATCCATTCCTTGTAAATCTTCTCAAATAAACAAAAAACTATCATTTCAAATTGAACATAATCATCCAAATGTTTCTCACCGTTTTGCGTGCATGGTCTTGACTAACATCTTCAAGGACAAGTTCTGGTTGCAAAAGCATCCTTGACTGCCACAAAACAAAATCTAATCATCTGGTCTACCTGGTTTCTAGGGAGTACAACTGAATACGGTGGAAGAGAAACTAATTTGTCTGCCACAGCCACCTTTTCGTGGCTTGATAATAAAGCATCAAGTAAAAGTGACGGTTCCTTTTTGTTTTTGGAAGTGTCAAGGCCATATGCACTAAAATAAACCTTTAAATGCATGTTTCAATATCTCCAATATATATGAATACATTGAAATATACAAGTGGCAAGGTTCGAGTGAGTAACACTGACCTCATCATATCCAGTAAGCCACACTCGAGGGGTTTGATAATACTTGTCATACCTGCAAAACAAGAAAAGACTAGCTTTTATAGATGGTTGCCAGAATAGTAATTGGCTTCTAATATAAGCACAAAATGGACCACCATCATGATACGTCAATTATAAAAGTATAACATCACTGCTCTGCATGACATTAAAATGAATGAGTTTTAGAAGGAGGTATCTGCTAAAACACGAATGAAAAAAATGAGATTGAAACTGAACTTACGTGATGCTGACATCATATGTTCGGGTTCGAAGAATATTATCATCATCAGGTTCTTGGGCGACTAAATATGTGGACTGGAGAGTTGCACCCATTTGGTGTAACAGCATACAAATGACACAGATCAGAATTATTATATTAGTAACAAATAAAAAGCAACACCAAAAGTAAACTACTTAACAAGAACCAGGCAAAGGCAAAATAAAACTAAAGAGTACAAAGAAATTATAAAAGAGAACAAAATTTATCATAGTTAAAAAATCCGAATTAAAGTTCACGTTCAGGTATGCCATGATCCACTCATACGGTAACATTGAAATTGTAAGATCTTGAACAGAAGTGTGGTTATGGTGGTGAGGAAGAAGTTCAAAAAATCAACGCCATTAAGAATTTAAGATGTGATCGTGGGGTCATTGCCAATGCTCAAGTGAGTAATCCTCACCTGATGGAAATGCCAGAAAGGGTTGTAGTATCACTCAGATTTTTTAACAAAATGTAACTCAATATACGGTTGGATCTTGCATACGGTACTGTAAACTTTTGAAATCAAGATAACGCGGGCCAAGCATGACACTCAAGACACGTATTGAATAACATATTACCTAAAATGTGCCTATGAAATCAACACACACAAGGCCAGGCGTAAGATTCCACTTAATAAATCTCACTGAGAATTTTCAATGCCCCAATTTGTTTGAACACAGTTTTGCTAAAAGTTATTATCGTATTACATATCAAGGTGATTCCTCCAGCAATGCTTTTGCTAAGGGGGAAAAAATGTAAGAGGATGTGAATCTATGGAAATTTGCAGTCAAGAAAATTGTCCAACAGTGTGAAAATGAAATTCCAGACTAAAACAGCAGTTGGTGTTGGTATATAGGTCAAAAAATGTAAGTTGAATTACATTGTTGGACAGTGGCCAGTGGCCACAACAACATGGGGAGAAAGAGCAAAGGCTTCTTCCAAATGAGACAGTTTTGGCTCCAAATAACATAGTATTAGCAAAAGAAAATGGATTTCAAAGGAACAATAGGAAGAGGGCTGTTATAAAACACCTTCATTATTGAAAACGTTAAAACAGTTATCTGTAAATTTATCTGGTTGAATTTGTCCAAAAGAAATTATTCAGTTGAGAAAACTGAAACTTCAAAATTTTATATACTTCAAAAAGTGTAAAGAATGTACTACCACAGAGATTTTCTTGTAGAAAGATTCATATGACTTGCTATAAGAATCATAACACATTAGTGTTGCTTTCATATATTCCTGGTTTTCCAGTTCTCTAACCAGGCAATAAATGAAACATCAGGAACATACTAGATTCAAGCAAAACCTATTGAACCATAAAGTACTTATAAAACTCATCCATCATTCTGATTTTTTTCTTCTTGGTTCCTAATCATCCGAAAAAAGAACAAAGTATCTCACTTGGAGGAGAAAAGCAATATAATATCAAATCATTGCACTTCAGGTTATTCATAGAGCCCTACCACATAATGAAAATGGTATCAACTTACAGGATCTGTTACAATAATATTGTCAGCTTCTTCAAACTCTTCCATATCTGGTATATCGTCATCTTCATCAACTCCCCTGTTGGAAGAAATTGGCTTAACAGAATCCTTTTTGCTGATTTCCAGGCTTTCCATGGAAGGTAAATTCTCATCCTCATCAGATTTACCTTCTAAGAAAATAAAAATGCGCAGATATAAGAATCAAATAAATAATGCAAAAACACAATAGGCTTTAGTAAAACTCATACCCTTAGGCTTCCCATGAGTTGCTAGCCACCCATCATTATCTTCATTATCAAGTAAAACTTCTCCTCCAGCAGCTTCATACTCTTCTTCTACAGATGCAGCTCTTCGAAGACAAGGCACTATTAAACCAATTCAAAATTCAGCACCAAATAGGACGACTATGAGGGGAAAGGGAAGGAAAACAACAGAGGGGTAAAAGTACATCTGATTCGGTAATGGATGGTTAACTCATTAAAGTTAAAAAAATAGCCATTTTGTTCAGCTCCAAAGTTCTAACACAGACTACCCCATATCTTGCAAAGCCTCTCAGCCACTGCACCTTAGATGACATGTGCCTCTCATATAGAATTATGATTATGTATTCTGACCCAAGAGCCAAAGCAAAGAATTTAAAAAGGTAGAATCTTTCGCCAGATATGATCTGAACCGAAGTTCACATAAGCAACAGTTTTTCACGACTTGCTCACACCATCCACTCAGTCCATTATAACTGCTCACTAATAATAACAAATAATGAGACCATCAATACATAAAATAACTAGTAAAAAGGTTTGGCCAATTTCAATTGTCCTTTGCAGCACCAAATTAAGCAGAGAGGGGCACAGCAAATCCAATGCTCCCTAGGATCACAAATTTATTCTCACTAAAACAAGAGAAATCAAATAAGCACAAATAAGTAAAGAATTGCACAAATAAGTTTATGTCCTCATCCTCATAACTTTACACATTTATGTAATGTTCTACAGTCCATTACAATGGCAACTTTGTCAAGTAAGTCAACAATTGAAATGATGAAGTCGCCATACTTTCTAGTTTTACACGTGATGGTAATTGATGGGAGTGCTGAATAAGACCCCCGAGTACGCACAGCTTATTCAATAATTAACAATACAATAAACTTCCAATATTTATCACCAACTACGTAATTTTCCAATACCACACAGCAACTACTTTAAATAGTAGAGTATAAGACAGACAGAACACAGCACATTTATGCAGAAGCACAATTAGAATTAGTATAAGGCTTTCATACAGGAAAATTTACTGTTTCTCATAAATAAAAGCAAATAAAAAAAATCCCACGTGGAGCTTAAATTCATGTTGATCTTACCATTTCTAGTGATTAAGAATTGCTTCTCTGGTGGTAAATATGCCTTCCTCTTGTTAGGGTCACCTGACTCCCTATTTTGAGTGATGAAACATAGAATCAAAATAAGCATACAGAAGAAAATCAGCAGCTGAAATAAAATAGCTCTGAAGATTCTATCCTTGTAATATATAGTATTTACATGGATAAAGAAGATTCAAACTTTGATTAATGGCTAGTTAATTATCATAAATTCAACTGGAACCCCCAATCCTCACTCACAACACGATCACACCAGACCTCCAGTAGAGAAGTAAAAATATATCTGCCCATGATAAGAACTGCTTCCTCAGGGTGCACGCTTACCTAACCAAAGCTTCAAATTAAAGTAACGATCCGGTACCCTCCCCAAATCAACAAACAAGAATAATACGGAAATATTTGAGCAATTTTCTGAGATACTAAATGGGTATGTTCAGTAAATTACCAAGACCAGGTGGGGCATTTGGCGACGAGATTATCGCCGGCTTCAACGAACTCGGTGACGCTGAGAACTCCTTTCTCTTTGAAGGCCGAGACCGTTCGAGGGCCCGTGATCCTCTCCACAGTGCCTTTGAAAGCTTCGTGGAGTTTCTGAGACAAAACCATCTCTTCCTCACGGGATTTGGCAGCTTCTGAGAGAAATTGTCAAGAGGGTGGGGCGATTTCAATGCCAAAGCGAAGCTTGGATTTTCCTAGTGATTCTCGGAATCAATCAAGGAATTTTCGTGCCAAAATATTTTTCGCTGGGTTGCTTCTATCTAAATCCTAAAGTACACCTTTTTTTTTTTCTCCAACGAAAGTCTTTTTTTTTTTTTTTTGAATCTCTGGATAAGACACGACTCATGAGGAATGAGTCTTGAAATTTTGTGCAAATCATAATGACTTAACTTTTCTATTTATGGAACTTATCTTCTTTATACAATACAGCATTGTACACATTTTTTGTTAGTTAATTTTTTAACGAGAGATTTAATTCTAAAATTTTCTCTCTTTTTTTTTAAATTGCTACCAAAAAAGTTGTGGATAATTCTAATAGGAAATTTTAGTCTTGACTTATTTTATTATCACATTGGCCAAAACAAAGCTTTAATATTGGGTAGCATAAAATCTCTCTTTATCTTAATAATAATTTCAATATTTATAAATTTCAAAAAAGCCAAGGTGCGTCTTGGCCAAAAAAATAGGAAAGGTGGAAAAATTAGGGAAAAAATTTCAATAAAATTTTTGTTAATGAAAATAAATAGATAAATTTTTATATACCTTTTTTATTAAAAAAAACAATTTTATTCAAAGTAAATAAAAATTTTATATATAAAATGGTCAGCCCATCATGCATGGTTAATTTGAGCAAAACCTAAATAAACTAGAGGAGAAGGTAACAGCACTTCAAAAACTAGTTAAAGCTTGAGTCTTCTAAGCAACTGCAGTGCCACCAAATTTAACACTGCTTGAAATCACAAAACACAGGAGTAGATACTGCTCGGCGACATTGATAAAACAAGAGATATGGGAGGATGTCATCACAGATAGCTAATACATTTAATTAGTAAAGATATTTTAGAAAAAACAACATCTATTTATTACAAATAACTAATTTAACTTGTTTCCTTAATTTCTTTAGATTAGTCAACTAAATCTTATAATTAGGACCGGAGGTAGTAAATTTTTATATATGGAAGCTATTGCTAGTCTAAAAATTTTATCACTCATATTTTGATATAAATCTTTCTTACTATTATAATTAACCTAAAAGCTGATAACAAACAAAACAACATCTCCTAAAAAATCAGCATATCAATTGTTAGTTTTTCTTGTTACCTTGCGTTCTAGCTTGTTTAATGTGATCTACACATCTTGGTCTTGCTCATTTAAATAAGATCATGAATTATTTACAATTTTAATCCATCAAATTTTAGATTTTCATTTTGTTTAACCTTACTTTATGTATTTGCGTCATATATAAGAAAACGAGAAATTGTTGTCTTTCTTGCAACTCAGTGTTTGTGATGGTTCTTAGGTGTTGGGTTTCTGCGAATCTTCAAGCCAAAAAGATTCGCACCGAGACTCGTGATCCTTTGCTCTCCATACAGGCATAAAATGGGCAGTGTTATACCTGTTGAGGATTACATGAGGCTGCTTATTGCTTTCTTATTTTTTTCTATTTGGTTTTTTATGTCTTCTCCTTGTCCTCTACTTTTGGGATTCTCTCTCAGTGCCATATTTGTCTTTCTTTGGGAGTTTCAAGGCCTTTATGGCCTCTGTGGACTTTCCTCTCCAATTTTACTCTATCAAGGTTTCAACAAACTTTATGGTTCCGTTGGTACCAAGCATTAAAAATGTGGGATTAGGATTGGAATTACAATTGAAAAAAATCATTAAAATAATATTTAGTATCAATAATTGTTACCAAACCCATAGAGGTCGGATTAGACAATACTACTTCCCCCATAATATTCTCCAATATCACATATATGAATTTAGTTATTCTCATATGACAAATAATTTCTTATACTAAATACTCTTTTAATAGATTTTTTTAATTGTAATTTCAATCCCAATTTCTCATTTTCAATACTTTCTAACAAACGTAAACTATACCTGGCTTGCAAGCCTACTTCATTGTCTTAGCAAGGTCGTGCCGAGACCTCTTTCAATAGCTTGAAAGTCATCGACGTTCTGGGTCGCCAATATAAATGAGTAATCTATAGTGATATCCTCCTATGTCCTTTTGTCTTATCAATGTTGCTGAGTGATATCTGTTCCTTCGCTTTGGCATTTTGAGTAGCGTCAGATTTGGTGGCGTTGTCGTTGGTTCAAGATGGGATTCAAGTTTTAGTTGATCTTTGAAATGCTGACTGTGTTATTTTTTTTTCCCTTTTGGTTTCATTTATATTATGTCGTTTTCTTATTTTAGTAATGGGTTAGCTTTCTTCCATGATTTATTTGAGCTTTACTCAAATTAACTATGTGTGATGGGCCGATCTGTTATATATAATCTTTTTATAGAGTTGAGAACAATTTTAATAAACTTATCATCTCTTGAAGTCAAGTAATTTTACCAATATTTGTGGTTCAACGACCTTTGACAAACCTAATGCACAACCAAAAAAAAATAAAATTCATAAACAGCTATAACTATTAAAAAAACTATTTATTATTTAGTATTGTTTTAAAATGTTACAATGTCTTTCAAGAACACTTTCTATCATTCCTCATAATGAACTATTTTCAAAAGTTATTTAAAACGACTTCTCAAAAATAAAAAAGGGAACATGTGGATATATACTTTGAAAGAAAACTTAAATTTATCAATATCTCATAATGAAATTAATAGTCCAATTAAATCTTTTTACAACTTGATTTGAGTAGTGCGTATTAACCGAGTTCAAACCCAACCTTAAAATGGCATAGTCAATCTAGATGAGGCTATTAATATGGATGAGGTGAGTGCGGATAAAGGTTAAAAGTTCAAACCTCTTAAAAAGATGATTAAATGAGAGCTAGAATTACTAAGCCAAGTTAAGAGAAGTATTGACTATTCCAATTTAATACCACTTTGGTTCTTTTTAATTGTCAGTTGTAGTAATTTCTCATATATTGAGGAGATCATTAAATACATAAAATCTTTTACTTTTATCATTATTAAATAACTAGTATATCTTTTCTCACCCGTTCACTCTCTCTTCACTTTTACATTTGTCTCCCCTAATTAATAAGAATAGAATCGGAAATGAAACATTAAAACAATACAAGTGACAACTAAAAAGGATTAAAATTTCTTCCTACAAGTGACAATTAAAAAGTACCATGGTGGTAATTAATAATTTGGATTGAAAAAACAAAGCACTTAGAAATTTGGGCAATGCTGAATTACTTCACTTTGTTCCTCAGCAAACACACCCAGGATGAAGACAAACCATTTTATCTGGTATCAATTCAACAGATCCTTAAACACTACAAGATCAAATAATTTCCCTTTGACTGCCAAATACCAAAACAGAGGCCTCTACACATAAACTTCTGGCTATAAAGAACATGACTAAAATTGAGACTTGTCAAGGCTGCGAAAGTACGGATGATCAAGTGCTTCTTTGGCAGAGGTTCTCTCAGCAGGATTATACTTGAGCATTTTCTGCAAGGCACAAATATCACATTCAACCAGTCAAAACAAAAGAAAAAGAAAATATGGGCTGAGCTCTCTCATATCATAGACAGGATCGGTCCTGGGTGGAAAAAGAACACTAACTTTCTTATGGTCATTTGCATATTATTCTTACCTATCTTGCTATTATTTTCAACTTAACAAACAAACTTTCCCATCAAATCATCTTCCATTCGGGTATAACGGATCTAGATTTCTCCATTCTCTTCCCTTCCTTTACATCAGAATCAGTTCTTCCTAATCATAGATAAGAATGGTCCTTTGTGGAGAAAGAAAACAAGTCTTTTCTCTCCATACAAGGCCATCCTTATCAGTGAGAACTCAAAGTACAGAGAATATGATTCAGATTTTCAATCAAAGTTGCTAAAATTTATATACCTATAATTTACAACAAATACATCACCGAGCTATTATGGTCCTACTTATGATCCTGAATTTCTCATTCAATCCAATAAAAGCCATTTTAAAAAAAAAGCAGAATAAAAGAATATCTAATTCAAAAGATGAAAATCAAAATTCATTTGATTCCGCATTGTTTTTTCTTGGTTCTCTCCCATACACAACTTCGAATTTGACTACAGATAAAGAAACCAATTGGAAGAACTGAGATCATTTACATTGAAACGCGTGAGACAGAAGGTCTCCTCCATTAAGGCCATACGAAAACCTGTGTGTAGAAAACTGAGATCACTAATTAGTTTGTTCTAGTAACCATTAGTATGTCCCTAAATTTTGAAGAACGGCCATATAATATGCGATAAAATCATATCAGTGCCCCCAGATACTGAGTCCTCATAAAAAACAATGCAATTAGGACCGCAAGTTACTCTTCCACTGATAGTAATTAATTATTGATGAAAACTTGTCCCCAAAAGGCTTAATGCAAAAAAGCTAGAAAGAACTGAAGAGTTGAGAACAAAATACCAACCGAGAGAAGATCTACTCCGTCAGGTTCCAAGGATGGTGCAGCCAGACCCAAATTCCGTGGCTTCCACTGTGGGTAGGCATGCCAATCTCTAAGAGAGGTAACTCCTGGCCTTACTTCCTCTGTTGGAGTTCCCAACCACCTTCAAGGATCACATATAAAGATGAAGTCAATGTTGAATCTGGAATTTCAAAAGCAGGAGCCAAGCCAACCTTTAGAATAGAATGATAGAGACAGATGTAACAAATGTCCTTTAAATGCAAAACGGATAGAAATGAATAGTAAAATATAAAATTAAGAAACATCTTTCGGTTAGTAATGTTACATTACATATTCTTGGTATGAAAATTACAGCATCAGCAGCATGATTTAAAGAAATGATATTCAACCTGAAAGATAAGAAGGAGCTGTCGGAACTGAGAGTCCCCAGCAAACAGAACTTTCATTCTCACCATTTCAGCTACAAAAACCAAATTCAGCCTAGTTAAAGCTATATAAACTAATAAATTGGCAATTAAGAAATACGAGTCGTTTATAACCATAAATGATGATGCAGATTAAGCATATGTTGACAGTGATAAAATCATAGGAGACGACTAGAACCTTATGCACGCCAAAAATGCATCCAACCGATCAGAAGCCACTTAGAGTATCTTTTAAAAGCTTAAACAAGCGTCCTAAATTTATTTAAGATGTTTTATTAAAAAATAATTTTTCGTTAGGAAGGCTAAAATAAACAGGTCCTGAGCATCGATTGACTGGGATAAAAGCATAGGAGATGACTATAGCAATTTACACACCAAAGATGCATCCAACGGACCACATGTCAACCCCAAAGGAGTAATGGGTAGATCCCAGCAGTATCTCAAGAGCTCTGTAACAAAGGGTGACAACCCCAGGTGTGTAGCTCTTAGGAGGGAAAATCAAGGCTCGTCCGAGACCAAAGTCAGCAATCTTGAGAATTCCCCTCCGCTGGTCAAGAAGAAGATTTTGGGGTTTGAGGTCACGATGGAGGACACCATGGCGGTGACAGTGAAAAACACCCATGCAGAGCTGGTAAAGGAAGCTCTGAATACGGGAAGGAGAAAGAGACTTAGAGACGGGACTACAGCGGCGGGAATCCATGTACTTCTTAAGATCAGTGTCAAGGTGCTCAAAGACCAGGAAGAGGACAGGCTTTGAATTTGAAGTCTTCTCAGTGAGCTCGACAGAGAGCAAGTGGACGACGTAGATGGACATATAGAGCATCTTAAGGAGGGAGATTTCTCGAAGAGTAGTTGGAGGGATTCCCTGGTCACCAATCTCCAGATGCATCTTCTTCAGAGCCACCAGCCGCCCAGTGGCCTTGTCCGTCGCCTTGTATACCTTCCCATAAGTCCCTTCTCCGATCTTCTCTAAATTATCGTATTTCTCCATTATTGCTAATCAGGTTCTAGCATTCATTGATAGAACATCAATCAAAATTCATCTGAAAAAGAAAATATTTGATCACATATTCAACCACTTGTCGTATTTAGATTCTCCTTGATTATTAAGAAATCAAATTACACAATATCCAATCACCATCCTGCCAAATCCCCAGCATCAAATTGTTAAGAAATCAGAGAAATTAGACAGAGGCAAAAGCAATGTTAGCACAGATAAGATCCAACAATCCCATGCATTATCAATTCTCTTCGCAACTATGCGCCTATGCAGGTAGTGATATAGTAGAACCAGAATATAAAGTCCCCAAGTAAAGAGTAAAGGCTACTACAATACATATTATTGTACTAAATTACAAACAAAAATAAAAATGCCACTTTCGCGGGGAACGCGATTGCATTTAGCACATGCAACAAGCCTTTTAAACTCCTAGGTTAGCCCTAGTAGACGAGTGGAGTCTCGTGAGGGTTTCTAGAGATGATATCCACAAACATTCCTGGCATTTTAATTACATCATAATTTTTCTTGTTTGGTCTCATACTTGAAGTTGAAAGAATTAATGCCAGTATAAATGCCGTCATCCATGTTATTGGTAACTTGTTGCCCATTAGTAAGAGTATCGCGTTGAGTGTATGAGAAGGGAACGTCACATGAACCCGTTGTTGCTAGCAGACTCACTGTCACCATCGTCATTGGTGGCACAGTAACTTTGTACACAGTCTCCACTACAGATGATGATGTGTTAGTTTCTCCCCACTGGTATGCTACACTAAATTCAGCTGAAATTTCAACTTTTCCTTCTGCGATGAATGGAACGCCGGTTTGGAAGCTAGTGTTGACACCCAGCTTCAATGAAACACTAGCATTCCAAGTACTGCTCTTAGTTTCTGTATAAGAGAGCTTCACTTCTGCATTATTGGGTTCTTGAGTCCTGTTAATGGCAACTCCGGTGGCCATTGTGAGGACTCCTTGGCTGTAAATCCTGGCATCGAAGAGACGAAAATTGACATTATAGATTTGCCTTGAAATAACAAGCTCTTCCACCTCTATTCGGGCCCCTCTGGAAATAGTGGAAACTCCAGCACTAAGACAATTTGTCTTTCCCCAGGTGGTGAGTCTCTTGCAGAAATTGTTGTTGCCTAAGTTACGAAGAGCAACGACATTGTTGTCAACTTTGATTGGCCAAAACAACGTGTCGGAGTTGTTATTGGTGGTGTCATTTGAGTCAGCCCATATCCAATTGCGGCTACGCCTCCAGAATTTACCGAAGAAATCGGACTTTACACGGATGCTTCCATCATGAGTGGTGAAGATCTCGTTCCCAACTGTTGGATCACCTACATCATTTGATGCAAACTGCAGATATTCATGTCCCTTGATCGAGCGGGCACTGAGATATTGGCCATTGTCGCCCTTGAATGCGACATGTTTAGGCATTATCAATAGTGATTCCCAATCAATGATTGTGTAGACATCGCACGAATCTTTGTCACGATTTTCTGATCCTCCAAATAAACAGGAATAAAAAGGTGCAGCAGCCCTCCATAAGCATGCATAGTGTCCAAGCTGGACGTGCAAAAATCGGACTGTTTTAGCATCAGCATCTACGTAGATTGGCTTGAACAATGTACATGACCATTTGGATTGGTCTTCCTCAGGTTCATCAGCTCCCGCAACAATCCACCAATGGTTCTGTGTCCACCTCGCCCAATATTTGTTATTGTAACAGCATCTTATGTGCACCAGTCCATTCCCACTCTTTGCCATCTTCACTTCGAACTTTGCATATGGCCTCACAACCTCATCTCCGGAGAATTGGAGAAACCCATGCACCTGCACATCTTCCTCTATATAACGCAAGTATTTGTTGTTGTAGTTTGATTTGAGCACTACAAACCTTGGCAATGACATTTTCTCTCTTCACTCTAATCACTTCTACTCCTTCTTAGTGAACCTCACTCTTGTGCTTTGCTAGTAGGGGTGTGCAATCGGATATTCGGTTCGGTTTGATCTAGAAACCGAAATAACCAATCACCGAATTAGAATATTTTTAGGCACCGAACCGAACCGAAGTTCTATCACTAACCGAATAGAAATCGAACCGAAATATCTTGGTTTGGTTCGGTTGGTTCATTCGGTTAATGCTCCTGACTTTTTCCTCTGTTTAAACCCACCATAAAATCCCAAGTGTGAGGGAGATGAATCGGTAAGCACAACCACAGTAGCAAAGACTATAGAGAAGAACAGAAGCATCAATGTGAAAATGAAATGGAGAAGAAAAATGGCGAAGAAGCAGTAAGTAGAGACGCCGCAAAGAAGAAGAGCAAAAGCATCAATATATTGTTTTTAGAGAGAGAGAGAGGCGCTACTGTGACAGCAATGAAGAAGTGTGAAGGAGAGGGCAGCAATGAAGAGTAAGAGAGTGTGAGGGAGAGGGCATTCTACCTGAGATCGATGAGCAAGAAGATGATGGTAATGTTTTTTACTTTTTGAAGTTGAGAGGACGCTGGGAAGGAGGCTGCGGCTAGAGAGAATGAGAGATGATGAGCTATCTTACATTAGGTTAGGGTTTGAGATATATTGGGCTGGATTTAGAAGTATACTTTGGGCCTATTAGTTCTTTTTGATCGAATTGGGCCTATTAGTTTATTGCTAACTTAGTGTTATATTATATACCTTGGCCCAAAAAAATATACACACATATTTCGGTTTTTCGGTTTAAAACCGAATTTTTTTTAATAAACCGAACCGAAAACCGAAATTTAATAAAAATAAAAACCGAAACCGAAACCGAATACCGAAATAACCGAACTGAAAAACCGAAAATACATTCGGTTTCGGTTCGGTTTTGCTCACTCCTACTTTGCTTTACTCCGACCTGTTGTTGCTATTTATAGCAATAACAATGTTATTAACTGCTATTAATTATTACACAGGATGAAAAAGATGGGGTGTGGTCCCTTTTACATACTCTTTCAAAATTCACATTGTGCAGGTTCGTTTTGTGACGTGATATATGCAATCACATGTGTCGCGCCCCACATGGCAACATATGATGCCATGTTGTCACTTTGAACCAAATCTGGAGTTTTACAATCGGTAGAAATCCCATAGATTAAAAAATATTGCCTTTTCTTCTACTTTTTTTTTAGATACAACACTTTTTGATAAGATATTATTTTTTATATTTATATATTCATATTGCATATTTAAAAAAATTAAATAAATTATTCGTAATTTACTGTTTTATATTTTGAAAGTTACAACTCTATATTATAAAGTGTAATTTTTAATAGTAATTTGCCACGTTATGTTACTAGAATATTTTATATCACAAAGTGTAGAGATTCTTAATTATAACTTAACATTTAATGTTACTAAAAGTATCACTACATAAAACAACAAATATTGCAAGTTATGGGTTTACCTGCATAAATGCTAATTCTGCCTCGGAAAAAATAGCTCTCTTGATTTCTTTGAACCAAAATTTTTGCGTACTCTTTTTAAGTTCATATTTTCTACGTTCATTTTGTGAAATCATGTTCCTCTTTCGTTGGTATATGTAATCACGTGTGCCCGGCCCCACATGGCAAATTTGTTAACCTTGAACCAAATCTAGAGTTTTGCAACAGGTGAAAGTTTCATGGATAAAAAAAAATATTGTTTTTTGATACAACCTTTTTGAATAAGATATTAATTTTTTTATATTTATATATTAATCATATTTCATATTTAAAAATAAATAAATAAAATATTAGTAATTTACTGTGTTATATTATGAAAGTTACCACTCTATATATTATAAAGTGTAATTTTTAACAGTAATATTCCAAATTATATTACTGAAATATTTTTATATTTTATATCTACATGCATAAAACTTCAAATCTCGTGGTTCTCGTGGTTTTTGAGTGGGCCTCATACATCAATTATTATAGATGATGAAAAAGGGACGTACTCTTTCAAAATTCATAATCTCGTGGTCCCTCTTTCGTTACTATTTGCAATCACGCGTGCCGGTAGTCACATGGTAACATATGAAAGGACCATGTATTATTCATCTTGGGCCCTACAATCTACCATTATGCAGAAAAGAAAAAAAAACAATGAGAAAAACAGCAAAAAAGAAACATTCGATATTACAAAGTGTAAATTATAATAATAACTTGTTGAGATTGAAGGAAAAATAATCTATATTTATTTTTAAATATTCTATATTTAAAAATAAATAAATAAAATATTAGTAACTTACTGTGTTATATTATGAAAGTTACCACTCTATATATTATAAAGTGTAATTTTTAACAGTAATATTCTAAATTATATTATTGAAATATTTTTATATTTTATATCTACATGCATAAAACTTCAAATCTCGTGGTTCTCGTGGTTTTTGAGTGGGCCTCGTACATCAATTATTACACATGATGAAAAAGGGACGCACTCTGTCAAAATTCATAATCTCGTGGTCCCTCTTTCGTTGCTATTTGCAATCACGCGTGCCGGTAATCACATGGTAACATATGAAGGGACCATGTATTATTCATCTTGGGTCCTACAGTCTACCGTTCTCCAGAAAGGAAAAAAAACAAAGAGAAAAGCAGCCAAAAAGAAATATTCTATATTACAAAGTGTAAATTATAATAACTTCTTGTTGAGATTGAAGGAAAAATAATCTGAGCTTCTTATTTTATTCATTCACAGAAAGGGTATATACATGGGAAGGAGCTCTAGTAGTTATGGCTTTCAACAATAATATCTAATCTAATCCGAACAAAAATATCTAATCTAACCTAATCCCTAATATTTAGTTATCTACATATTTAAATAATTAAATATATATTTCTAAACTTGATATTCTCAACACTCCCCTTCAAGCTAGAGGCGACTTGCACATACAACAACTGATCTTCAAGAAAATATTCACCAAGGGAATTCGAACAATAAAGGCTGAGGTAATAATCCACTAGCTTCATCAAGAACTTGAACACCAAAGAGTACCAAACCAAAATAGAAACCACAACAAATGGTCTCAAAAGGGATCAAACTAACAATAACGGTTTTATAAGAAACCAAAGCAACAATGAATATCTCTCTGAGACAAACACCAAATAGTCTCACCAAGGACCAAACCAACAACAAATGGTTTCACAAGGGACTAAAGCAACAACAAACGTCTTACTAAGGACGAACACCAAATTGTCCAATTCTCCAAACGTCTCACCAGGGATGAACACTAAAGAAGTCATCGAACTAAGGCAGAAGAGACACAAAATTCATTACATTGGAACGAAAGGAAACATACCAAAACCTGCAAAATAACTAAACCAAGATTTGAGACACACCAAAACGGCACAAAGCACCATAAACAAAAAGAGACCAATCACCAAATGTAGGTCCCAGAGCATGAGACTACCAAAGACACACCAGACCCAACTTGAACTGCCAGTAAAGGGCACATACTAATTCTAAAGAAAGGACCTTAGGCAAAACCCTAGGCTTTGATACCAAGTTGAGATTGAAGGAAAAATAATATGAAGTCCTTGTTTTATTCATTCACAGAAATGGCATATATACATGAAGAATGAGCCCTAATAGTTATGGCTCTCAACAATAATATCTAATCTAATTATAGTAGAAATATCTAATCTAACATAATCCCTAATATTTAGTGATATACATATTTAAATAATTAAATATATATTTCTAAACTTGACATTCTCAACATAACTTACCATTTAATGTAATTTAAATTATTTCTAACTATTCAATCAAATTTGTTAAATTTAATCGTTGGATATAATGTGCTATTTAGAGAGAGAGATCAAACATGTCAAACTTCAAGCAAATAGAATAGCTACAAGTATTAAATTTATTAAACTAAGTATTTATTACATTGAAACTTTCATGAATTATTGAAATAGTTAAAAGTATTGAATTCACTTGAAATCTGACATACATGACCTAATGTCTAAAACTTCAAATCTCGTGGTTCTCATGGTTTTTGAGTGGGCTTCGTACATCAAATTATTATATACTAACTATGGTCCTAAATATAAGATACAGTTGGTTTTTTTTTTGAGAAATTAAAAAAGTTAAATAAGTTACTTAATCATATAATATATTGTATATTCTTAGATTATATATCAGTTTATAAGTTATGAAAAATAATTTAAAGAAAAAATGACAAATATAACTACTTTAAAATAATTTAGTTAGCTTTCTTAATTTCTCTAAAAAATAATTTTATCTTATATTTAGGACCGAAGGGAGTATGATGAAAAAGAGTTGGGGTGGGCCCTCTTATGTGCTCTTTCAAAGTTCATATTGTCCACGTTGGTTTGGGGTATGATATATGCAATCATGTGTATGTACCAACAAAAAATATGCAATCACGTGTGGTCCCTCTTTCCTTGGTACCAGGAGAAAGAGCTTACTCACTTGGGTCACAAGATTATATTTTCAAGTTAATGGCTAGCTAATCAAATTGAAAATTTAAAGGGCAGTGGATCGAGAAGAAACAGTGAAATGCATGAGATAGCATTGTAGCATATTTATATTGATGATAAGCAATAAATAGACCAAATCAGTATTCTGCTAAAAACAGAGTCGACATCTATAACATGCTGAGATTTGTCGGGTCAATAATATCGATTATACAATTGTAAGCTAGTATAATTCAGCAAGCAATGATATGCAGCGGGAACAAAATTAAAGATCAAATTAGCAGCACAGGAAGATAAAATTAATGCTTGTGTTTTTAGACGAAAGAAAAAGATTATTCTCTGTCCCTATCTATGTCATGCACAAATCTTGGGAAAGAAGAGCCATGAGAGTGGAATAATGGATCATTTCCCTTATATGAACTGAACATTGACTTCCACTAAAAAAAGAATTGCACTATGAGCAGGCCTTTGATATATTCCCATTCTTATTCAAATTCAATCGTGCACACATATATATATATAAGAGGATACAAAGATTTAGTGAAATTATATCTAGCAAGCTCATCTAAGCACTAGCGTACGTGAGTTGCCTAGGCAAATTTACTCTGGCACAATGTATTCTGTTAAGTTAGTGAGTATGAATTACAAATGCAGAACAAGAGGCAAATGCACCAGGTAAATAGAAAATCAAGAGCAGGAAGAAAGAAAATGCGTAAATTTATCCATTCAGAAAGAAGAGCACTTGCAGAAAAAGAACAATCTTTTTTCCTTATATAATGAATCACCAGACACGGACAAAGCCATGAAAATCTTTGCTTCAGTTATTACATACAATCAAAGAAGATGTTTCCACAGAGGGATTGACGAAGAGAAAGTGGCGGAGTGAAAACATAGACCAAGAAGAAGATGACAACCAACTCAAGGATGACGAAGTAATGAAGCGCTAATAGAACCTGTGATTCAAATAGGAAAGAATAGAGAAAAGGAGGGAAAGAATGGAGAGAACAGAGGAATTGGAGAAGAAAAGAAAGGAAGTAAGAGGCCTAAGGATCAACCTGCTCTTCTT